CGGAAGGGAACAGACTGTGTCCTGTTCTCTTGCAAGGCATCGCATATCAACGGATTGACCCAGTTACCGCCGTGCATGATCCGGCATCCCGGGTGGTCCCCAACGGTTCTTGGTCATGCCATGACCTATGCCTCTTCATGCCGTCACGCCTGAGGTCAAGTGAGAGACAACGAAACGAGTCGACCATCCTTAGTCCAAAAAAGGGCGAAACCGTGCCTTCGAGTTGCCCTACCCACAGCCATTCATCTGCGTGAAAGCAGGACTGCGGTCGTCTGACTCCTCGATTCTGACCATAGTCGAACCATATTACTCGGATGTGTTCCGCGTCTGCTTCCGAGCGCTACCCCGACCGGTGTCTCGCGAGTGCTAGGCGCCGGTCGGGTACTGGTAAACGCACCGTACTGACCTCGTGCGCTTACCGTTCTTGCATGATCAACAGGCCATAGTGACGCAACATGAGGAGGAAACTTATATGTAGTTCAATCTACAACCTTATGCATGATTTCCAAGATTTGTTGTACAGCATGCTCATGCCTTACCGGGTTATGAGTAATTTGGTGTAACGATTGCTGTGGGGTCTTCCCGCTTTTGATTAACTATATATGATCCAGGTTTAACAGGAACGAGCATTTAACTATGCATGACCATATGCTCTGATGGTTAATCCCATTTTGACACAGGTGTCCATGATTGACACCAATGCGCGGTCCCAGTCAGTTTGGCTGTGAACGTGGTGATGCAGAGTGTAGACGCATTGATTGTTGGTGCTAGGAGTTCAAGTAAGTTCGATCCTTTCCCTCGCCTGAAACTCCTGGTACCTGTTCATACGTCCTAGCCCTTTCATTGCATAATTTCCACGTTTATTTCACTGCATGTTTTAATAAACAATACTTCGATTCCTGCATGCATTCCCACTATACTCTGGTAACTAGCCCAAACTTGGAGTTGGAACAGCCACTCATATTTGCGTACCTATACAAGTACCACAAATGGAAGGAATGGGAACCTTGTATTGGCCTAATCTAACTGTTCCTTTATCTGAAAATTTCAGCTCACTTCTAACCCTTCCGCCGTTAAAGAGTCCATTGGAACTTATTTCAGAACTCTTCAGGAACTCTTCAGTTATCAGGAAGAAACGGAAATATGAACCTTTGCAGTCCTTCGAGGTGGAGAACCATATTTTAGGGACAGAGGCACGCCGACACCGCACAGGTCTTCCCGGCGATTTGGATCACTAGTATAGTAACGCAAGCCCTCCTGTTACCAGCTGAGGTCAGGTACGTCTCGAAGCGCCTCCAGACCTTCAGTGGTGGAAACTATTAGTCGTAATTCCTGAGGTTTATCAGCCACCACAGTTTCAACACCTGCTAGAAGTATACTCGTTTTGGTCTCATTGCAGTGTAGATTCTGAAGCGCATTATCCAGCCCCATAGGTGCTGGTGAAGAAGCTTATTTATTGTCTCGGTGATGGCAAGAGATTCCGACAAGACTGAAATGTGAACCAGTACCCGTGAAACTAGCATTTATATCAAATGAGGCAAATCCTTGCAGAAGAAATGAGCCCCCAAACCAAAGGAGCATTTCAGCACATGCTTCAACCACACACAACCCATAGCCAAAGTTCAAACAAGCCATACTACAACGGCTACATGGGTAGGAATATGGGACCAGGGGAAGGGGTCTGACGCTCATTTGAGAATTATTGTGCCGACCGCATTTCCTGTCACTACCGGTGACAAAGTCAAGTAACGCTAACATTTCCTTCATTACCGCGGCGACAAAGTTCAGTACCGCTCACATTCCCCATCACTCCCGACGACAAAGCTCAGCACCACTAACATTTCCTGTCACTACCGGTGACAAAGTCAAGTAACGCTAACATTTCCCATCACTCCCGACGACAAAGCTCAGCACCGCTAACATCTCCTGTCACTCCCAGCGACAAAGTACAAGTTAAGTACCGCTAACATCTCCTGTCACTCCCAGCGACAAAGTACAAGTTAAGTACCGCTAACATTTCCTGTCACTCCCAGCGACAAAGTTAACACGCGTTCAGGCGGGGGTCAAATTGACCCCCTAAGGTTTTTCCAGAGTGGTTTCCGAACGGCGCGGCGTGGCCGCGCTAAATTTTGCACAGCTGTAAACAATTAAATAGCAGATTGTTTGACATCAAAAACTTAGATGTAACTTGTAAGGTCGCTGACCTAGGGCAGGTCAAAGTCAGGTCATGGTTTCAGCGAAGGCAATTTCTAGGGAATCCTTCCATCTGATGTAACAACGGAGTGTTAGACGAAGCCATACATCTCTGGGATGCTTTCTCAGACAACGCAGCAGTTAAATGAGCAAATTACATTGACCTAAGGCCATGTATGAAGGTCAAACCAAGGTTTAAATCAAGCTGTTTTGTTACCCTAGCGCCTGCTGTACAGGATAGTTTTTGGTGTTCTGTAGGCGTACATTTTCGTGCCTCGTCGTCTTGCATGCCACCCGTCCGGGACCAGAGGTTTCGCGCGCACAACATGGGAAAGCGAGCCAGCCGGTCATGGTCGAGGGCTCCCCCCCCCCCCCCCCGCGAACAGACACGTCCATCAGGCCGGGAGATGAATGCAGCTCGGCTTGACGATCCGGCCGATCAGCTCGCGTCGTGAAAGCAACGCCAGGTGCTTCGCTCCGGAACAGCCATGACGGCGGCCCACCTGCCAGGATCGTTCATCGCGCCAAGAGGAGTGGAGGCGAGAGCGGGCGATCGGCGAAACAACATGCGCACAGGAACACGCAAGCAACATGTTGTGAGGACGTTTGCTGTTTCGTCCCACCAACCCCCGTCGCGCCGACGCCGCCGTTGCCCCAGATGCTACCAGAAGGGCCACGCCACGTGGGAACTGGGCCAGAGGAACTTGGCCAGGACGCGCAGGGCCCGCCCGAGGCGAGAGCGGGCGGGCCCTTCAGCTCCTTCAGCTCGCGGTTCGTGACTGATTGGACCGCTCTGTCATCGGCAGCAGCAGCGTCGTCCTCAGCTGGGCAGCTCAGAGCAGACTCCAAGCACGCTGGACTGGCACCGGGCACGACATCGCGCACTAATGGCATCGCTAAAATGAGATGGTTTGGCTACCTGAAATGAATCTTGAAAAGTCCGCGATCGACAGGCCAAGCGGCCTTTTAATTCCTGATTACCATTGGGTAGTGTGGGTAATTTGGTAAGTCATAAGTTAGATTAGTCATCTGAGCAGTGTCTGGATTAACTGAAGTGATGCATCAGCTTTACAACACATAATAACAATAATGTGGTATATTTTGTACCACCAGGTTCATACGTGTCTTCAAAAATGCAGCTATAGAAACACAACACAAACAATCAAGCATAGTGCAAGACGCAGGCAAAGCACTCAACTCCCTGCAACTAGCGGCCCAATGCCGCCTTACACTGAAATCATGGAGAAAAACCTGTGCATTTAACATTACCAACTGGTTTACAAATGGCTACCGTACACACAAACAGCATCGAACACAATACACTTCTTTAGCTTTCGTGCATGCCACACAAAAGCTTCGAACACATAATTAAATCCAACAACCACCGCCCCAAGCCCCCACAAAACATCAATAAGATGAACTGAGAAATAGCAAGCGACACGCAGCGACGTGAGTCAAGGTTGGTGAACTCATTTTGCCTCTTTCGCGCCAAGCATTTGGCACTTAGCAAAAATGAACAAAAATGAACGCAAAAATGAAATGGCGATACACAGGGATGACAGGGGGCTGGCTGTCTTCCAGGATTTGCAGTGTACGTAGGGGCGGTGCGCATATCCTTTCCGAGGTTTTTGGAGGGTGCATAAGCCCGGTACGCAGCCACCTTCTATTTTGGAGGGTGTGTAAGCCCGGTGCGTAACCGCCCTCCGTTTTGGAGGGTGTGTAAGCCCGGTGCGTAACCGCCCTCCGTTTTGGAGGGTGTATAAGCCTGGTGCGTAACCACCCTACGTTTTGGAGAGTGTATACGCACAGCCATATCAATATATGGCCCATGTTGGAGGCAGCAGGTCCCAAGCTGTTGCATCTTCTGATTTCATTTTGCCTGAAACAGAGAGGCAAAATGAGTTTTTCCAAAGCCTGCTTTTTCTTGTCATAGAGGAGTACAAAATATGTCATTTTACCTAGTCACAATCCTGGAGTACAAAATTTCCTGGTATACATTATACCAGGAATGGCAATTTTTCCAACACTGAGTTAGAACTCGTTGATGATGTCATATACTCGTTGATATATATGACTCGTTGATGGAACTGAAAACGTCAACCTGATGTTTTGAATGTACGACTCAAACGTAATTTCTGAACTCACCTGACCGTGCCGCATGCTGGCAACGTGTGTCCCAACAGGCATGCGGTCAGTCCGTATGGATGTTCGTACGGCTCAGCACACTTTGATTCGGTACTTCACCTTGTACAATAACAGCCACACACGACGAAACGCACGACACTCACACTACCGCCCGCACGCATGCAACTGTGGTACTGTCGCTGCCAAATGCTGAGCCGCTTTCAATTTGCTGCCTGTGCGGGGTCTCGGGCCCTCCCCCTCTAATCATAAACCACCCAAAATGACATCTCTGTGCAACTTGCACTAAACATTTATACATATACCTGCTTTAAAAAAAATTATGCTGTATGTGACCATTTGCCACTCAAACTGCGATGACAGGGTCATAATCAAAGCACACAAGTGAAACGATCTTCTGCCTTTGCTTGCGCTAGTGGACCACAGCAGCCACTCTAACGCACCACTGAACTGGCAAACGCAGCTAGCGTTCCCTCTGCGCACGCGGGTTTGTCTCTCCGGCCTGCGAGCGGTCCAGAGGCGCGCCGCCCCATGTTCGTCGCCCGGCCCTATGCGTCGCGCCGCCGCGGCCGCCGCGCGTCGATTGGTCTGCGGCCGAGCCTGGCGGCGGCGGCGGCGGCGGCGGCGTGGTCCTGCACGCCGGTGCTCCCCAGTCTGGCGGGACAGGTCGCTGGGTGCGGCGTCGGCGGCCGGCGCTGACAGGCGGCCCGGGCCGGAAGGAGGGGGTCGGGAGAGCTGACTGGAGCATGGGACCGCCGGACGCCAAGAGGGTCATGGGACCACCAGACTCCAGATGGACCTTGGGACCACCAGATGCCAGGTGGGTCAAGTGACGCACAACCGGACGTGGTTCTGCGCTTTTGTCGAGGCTTAGTATGGACCCTGTTTCATAGCGAATTGCACTGCGCAAGTGAGCTGTTTGGAGCATCCAAACACGTGCTGCTTTCACATGTTCACTCGCCTTCTGATTCACTTACCCATGGTTGGATGGGTTCCAGTCCCCTGAGGCGCTCACTAACTGCCTCTGACTGGGATATCCTGTGACCGGTAGCAGCGTCAGTGTCACATACGACTGGCTTGAGCCGTACCTAACCAATCGCAAACACTGAGTTGTTCTGACCGGCAAGCAGCCTGACTGGGTTCCAGTCCTATCCGACGTACTAGAGGACAGTATCTTCGAACTGCTGCTTTTTGTTGGCATGCAAATGCATGTATTTATGCAAGTCTGGGTTTCAAAGGGTTTGCGCACAAAAAGTGTGGTTTACGAAATTAAGTGTAAACTGTTTGAAACACATGTGAGAACATAGTCTATGACGGCAAGTCCATGCACCCCATTTATTTGAGATATATTAAACGCCTACGAGACGCTAAAAGCAAAATAGGAATGCCTCTTTCGGTGACATTGTTTTTGGCAAAACACACTCAGGCTGAAATTCATGGAAGATTCAGGGCAATGCATCATATGCCCTTTTTAGACCTCAAAGTCATCTACAAAGCACAGGTCCACTCAGACAGAAAAATAAGTAAATCTGTTCTGATAAAAAGTCGGCGCCCAAAGTAGGTCGGCGTACAGGGCCCATCATGGCCGGATACGCGAACGTGATATGTGCCTTGATGTGTGACGCGTGCCAGCTTAAAATCGTTTACATGTATAAGTGGTGCCTGACGCGTGATGCGCGATGCCTGTTCAATTGAAATTTGCTTGCATGTGTAGTTGATGCGTGATATGTCATGCCTGTTTACTTGGATACGTTTGCATATGGGAATGAAGCGTGATGTGTGATGCCTATTTACTTGAATTCGTTTGCATGTGCACGTATTTGTCACATATTCTAATCCTCAGTTATATATGCGCTGTATCGTAATAATGGCTGGCGATAGCGCGTTGTCTAATCCCCTGAATGCTGGTGATCTGTAGAAATTGAGGCTCACTGTGTAAAAAAGCTGAAAAATCCAGTAGAATCATAGGTAGGTATTTCTAAATTTGCTTCTGCTATTCATTTTGATAAAGGTATGTTGCCGAAATATCACGATAAACTAAAGTATAATGATAGGAATTTGGGTATATGAATTTACCAAATCGCATTTAATTTCGCTAAAGGCTTTTAGTACTGTCTTGCCTGAATGTGTTCTTTTGGGAAAATGCCCTGGGTCGGTCAGAGCTAAGTCATTGTATGGGCTAGAATCAAGGCCCATAAATTCATTGGAAAATTTGTACGGCCTGGAAGTGCAGCAAATAGAGCGCAAGGCAGTAGGTAGGTACACCGGAGTCTTTTTATTCAAATAGTACCTACATGTCATGGGTGTTACGTGCATCATAGAATCGACGACTTCCTTAACTGTTGCCACCGAGATAAGAGCCATCAGAATTGATTGGGGACGTCATCTACCCTGTAAGTGAGGCCGACTCAGAAATGTGTTATACTGTTAACGGTCCCCGCTGCAGTCAAGCACATGACACGCTGTGAATCGGAAAAGGAACCGATTTTAGGCACAAGGCACATTTTAGGCACAGCCAAGCTCAACAAACTGAAGGAAGTGTTTGGGATAGACAAGATACACAATTCAGAGCACCGTCGATAAACCGTGAAGCAATTGGTGGAATTCTGCCGTTGCGTAGCATTCGGGTCTAGCCAGATTTAACAGTGGTTAGCATTATTTCCTGGCTGAGGTTGTTTGTTGCAAGGGAGGAGCTAGCAGCGGAAGCAACGCGCCCTGGTATCCCCGAAACCACAATTTGCTGATTGGTAGGCCAAAGCTCTCCTAACCACCGAAGAGGACCAGGACCGAACAATCAACCCTCTCGGCGGTTAAGTGGTTAGAGCGCCTGTGTGCCATTTACGTCGTTCTGGATTTAACTGCTAGCATCTTTCGAGGCCAAGACTTGTGCAAAGCTTTGCCTCAAGGTAGTTGACGCGCCAAATTCACACACACACACACACATCTATATATATATATATATATATATATATATATGATATATATATATAGATATATAGATAGATATAGATAATATATTAAATAGAGAGAGAGAGGATAGAGAGAGAGAGAGAGAGAGAGAGAGGAGAGAAGAGAGAGAGAGAGATAAGAGAGAGAGATAGAGAGAGAGAAGAGAGAGAGTAGAGAGTAAAGAGATAGAGAGAGAGAGAGAGAGAAGGAGAGAGAGAAGAAGAGAGAGAGAGAGAGAGAGAGAGAGAGAGAGGAGAGCGAGGAGGAGAGAGAGAGGAGCAGTAGAGAGAGAGGAAGAGAGAGAGAGAGAGAAGAGAGGAGAGAGAGAGATACATATATATATATATATATATATATATATATATATATATATATATATAGTGTGTGTGTGTGTAAAAACCTGTATATGTATGCCTGCATATATATGTACCTATATTTTGTTTAAATCGGAGGGGAATCAGCACATTAATGATCTTTTTGGATATTTTTCGATATACCTGATTAGGGCTTTCGCTTTTTCTCGATGTCCGTTTAAAATAGCACCAAAGCTGACGGTAAAAACAGTGTATAGATTGTCGTACTGCATGGCGTGGCATTAGTAATATTTCTCAACGTTTCATCCTTCATTGGACATTTTCCAGAATGAAGGTCTTAGACAAGGCCGATATGATCTCGTATTTGTAAAATTCAAGTTGTGCGACTGTTCTAATATGGATTTCATATCTGCATACATCAGCTCTTTTAAAACCGGTATATCACAAGCATACTACATGATATCACAATACAGACTTAACCATTCACGAATTACATATGCTCATCATTGGCAGGCAACAGCGTTCATCCGCAACGCACAAAACACTCAATGTTCCGGCGCCCTCCGCCCTAATGGTGGCCCTCCATACAGATGGAGGGTTCCACGAGCTTTTTTGTTTATTGATGGGAGGTTCCCATTCGCGAATGCGTGTCACTTTAAGAGCGATTAGTCTTCGTCTTTGTGCAGAGCGTGCGATGCCTTATGTGTTGTTGAGCATTTGACCTGCCAGGTGGGTTTTATGTTGGGTCTCTCTCTGTGTGTAAGTACAAGCCGCCGTTTTGTAGGTGCATGGCCAGGCGTCTCAGGAGTGTCCTTTTTACGTGACCAATATTTGCTATTAGGTGGGAGCGCATAGTCTCTTCCGTTGCATTCATAGTGATGTATGACGTTTTCTTTGAGTGGAGCCGAATCATGTGAAAAGCTGTCTTGCGTGATGAGGGAGAATCAGGGAGGTTGGACTTTGGTAAAAGATATTAGATGTGATGCTTTCATTGGGATCCTCCGCTCGTCGACCGCCTAGCAAGTACGAGCAAGTGGAAATGTAATTACCTGCGTGCGAATGCACTTGGCTGGCGCTTGGCAGGTGGAGACTGCCAACCGCCGGGTTCAGTGCGGTCTAGTTCACAGCTGCGTTGGTTATTATGTGCATTGGTGAGAAACACTATGTTTATAGATGAGACAGTATTAATAGCCTTCTTCCTTGTTGAATTAACAGGAGAATCGAGACATATATGTGATATTTCGGCCGCATACCTTTATCCAAACGAATAGACATTACGCACAATGTAGAATTAGCAGGTGTATGGGGAGATACATTTCAGCTACATGTCTTTATCGAGGCATGTACTGAATTCGTTTCGATAAATGCATGTAGCCAAAATATTACATCTATCTCTCCATTCTCCTGCTAATTCTACGAGGAATAAGGCATCAATGCTGTCTCAGCCTATTTCACATCGCATGTTATATAGTCAAAGGGTCTGGATCGTAGGTGCCAAGGAGAATAAGCCATCCTAGAGCTAAGACTTGAGAGCGCTCATTTGTAGCAGGTTACAAGAAAGGTATTGTTTGCTGCACTACATTTGTTTAGGTTAAAAATACAAACTGCTTTAGGCTATTGGCACCTATTTACCATGTATATATATATATATAATATATATATCTATATATATATATATATAGTATATATATATATATATCTATATATATATATACATATATATATATATTATATATAATTTATTATTATATGCGAGAACTAAATCAGATCTTTGATTTCGCAAGCTGTGTGAGTCATGAGTCAAATGATTCAACGCAAGCAATGAGCCTGAACTGAGTCAAATCAAAGCATTTGAAACGGCTTTGACCCGTGAGCTGAATAGGGTCCCAGTGATCCAGTCGTGAGCTGACGCAAAGAATTTGAATCGAGCACAAGTCTGCCGCCAGAATCAGTATTTCCCACCCTTTCCACCTCCCATTCCACCTAAGGATGTATCAAAATCACGATACCCCTTGACCCAGCCCAACAGGAATTCAGGTTCAGATTTAGTTTTCATTTCACTACAAACCCGCACTTGCACGGTTCGGCAGTGCCGTGTCGTAATATCAAAAGACGCCTGTTTAATCATACATTTCCGTTGCGTGCACACTAAAACCCAGCAATACGCCCCCACGCGACACGAATCAACGGCTGCAAATTAAATACGCGTTAGGTGTCGCTTGCAATGGCATGTGAATTTATGCAAGCTTGCAAGAAATACAAGCCGACCATACTCCTGCACTCCGCCGTAGCAAAGGTGGTGACAGCTTTTATCTGTCCACATTCTGGGTAAAACGTGTCAGATGGCGTCTCGTGTCTTGCACTGGCGTTGTGCTGTGTTGCTGATGATGTTGACAATCTGCCCAGGTCTACCTGTGATCATGGCTACGTGGATCACCCACATTTTACGATGCTGGAGAAGGCTGTGCGCGCCAAGCTAAACAGGGTGCTTCAAGGCATTACTGATGCCACCGTGTCTCCGCCTTCCACTGATGCCTCTCGCATCTGAATTTTGGCAGTTTCCGTACTTTGTAAAGTTGCGCGACGCTACAGGCCGCTCACGGCGATAAATAGTATCAAACTATAGAAGGGAGATCAAACAATGTTTACAAGAGCAGCTTTCGGTGCGGCGTGATTCAGGTATGTCAGGCCAATGGCGATGTCCGTGTATTTGTTACGATCTGTCCCACGTGCGGTTTGAAACCATGGTGGTTGTCCATAACAGCACCCCATTTTGTCACAACTCTGTGGTGAGGCATCGCAGTGCCCAAGAAAATCAGCGAGACGGCTTACAAGTCTCCAAGCATTGCCAGCGTGCTTGGCACAAAGGCAAAGGTGCCTGTCGCAGCTAACGTGAACCAAAGTTAATCAACATAATCGTGTGTATTCTGACCTCTTATGAACACTTTTCATCATACAAATCCGCCAATGACCTGCTTTGGCACGAGATCTGAAATGCGCAAAAGCTTTGGCTAACGGGAGCAAAGCCCATGAAATGTCCCCATGTCTGCTAAGACATTAAGTAGGTGTTACTCACCAAACGTGTTTTCGTCGTCATGCAGCCATTCGCCATCCAACGTCCGCGGTAACTTGTGCTTTAGGCTCTTGAGATCACTTAGAAGTCGTGAGATGACGAAAATGTACATGACAAAACAAAAATGCTTCCATAGCACAATTCGCCGACTATTTTCATAAGTCTGGTGACCAATGATGGGTTTTGTTACTGGTTGCCATAACTTCGGAGCATTTGAAGTTTCATACAAAATTAGGTCTCTGACGATGTAAGCGTAAAAGGGGATATGGTGAACCGAATCATGTTATGGGCTGATACGTAAAAAGGAGTGCCCCACAGCGATTGCATTTGGGCAGCACAAATAAAGTCACAGAAGTAATCACTTCATATGCTTTGCTCGTGCATGAAAACTTGATATCAGTGGTAGAATGTCTCTGGGTTTAGCTATTACGTCATATAGTTTGGGTTTACTGCATGTGGTGCATGGCTACGCATGTGGCAAGATCATTTTCCAGTCACTGCCGACCTGTTGGCGTTGCCTGGACGGCTATCTTTCTTTACGCAGGGGCCACTGGATACACCAGAATTCTTCCAGAGACTCTAGCATACTCTCATTTGGAGAAAACCTCATCCCCGGGTTGGAACGCATGGCCTGCAACGTGCAGTTCGTTTCACGTATTCACCTGTCCTAGTTACCGAGATCTTTGATCTTCACTGGGTTGAAATATTCAAATATTCTTGCTGTGTGCTTGCGTTACTCGCGCAAGCACGGAACGGGAATATATAACAGGAATATATACAATATATACAAGAAGAACACATACAAGAAGAGTATAACAAATCCACCATTCTGTTCCTTATGGAAAATGAGAACATTGCACCCAAACACACATCAACATAGAAACTTACATGATATTAGGGTTATGTCTCTACCTTTTTTGTCTGTTAAGAAAAATTACTGTTCATTTGGAAAGTGTCAATGTATTTTTAGCCTATTTAATGACTTGGAAACATCAAAGGACAAGAACCGCGTTGCTAAGGAACGAATTTGGAATCGAAAGCAGCCGTGCGCTACTTGAGTGCAAACGATTGGCAACCGGACGATCCGTTTCGCCTTGCTCACCATTCCCCCTCCGTTGACAAACCAGTTGGTCCCCTACCCGGGTTCCGCCCAACTCTCCACCACTTTGTTACTCAGCTAGCGGGACGCCGGTTCCGGCGAGCTGGTGTTTACACGCGGAATATGAGCAGCGTTTGAGACGAATTTAGATGGCGCCACTGCATCGCTACGCTACGAGTCTTCCGCAAAGGCCAGGCCATGCAAGTTTGAAAAGAGACCATGCAAGATTCGGGGCAAGGGTCAAAGTGGCAAGGACGTACCCTTTGTTCGCAAATAATGAGTTTTCTTCATTGCTTTGTTTGTTCCAGCAACGTCTCCCCGCCCCTCCCATCACGCACACATACAGTCTGCGATAGCTGGCGAGGCGAGCCAGCCATACTCGGCCGGAATCCACATTCATAGTTCACAGTCCGGGGAATTTGACCTGGCGTTATGGCTGTTACAGCTGCCGGTTTATTTGCTCGTGCCCCCACCTGCCGAAAGAACGGTGTGGTGTTGATGTGCGGTCGACTAACGTCCGGTGCAGACGAGTGCTGGCACCGGCGGGGTGGTCCATATATACCAGGCTCTGTGTGTAAACTGACAAGGCGGACAAAGGGGCGTCTGATGGCGCCGCCTGCACTGGTAACTTCGGCGGGGGTACCACCGCCTTAGCTGGTACATGCTGCAGGGATACCACCGCCCAAGCTGGTAAATGCTGCGGGGGTGCCATCGCCTGAGCTGGCAGCTGCTGCGGTGCTGCCACCGCCTGAGCTGGCAACTACCGTAGGGGTGCCACCGCCTGAGCTGGTAAATACTGCGGGGATGCCACCACCTGAGCTGGTAAATGCTGCCGACCGCCAACCGTCTCTGCCACGCCGTCCCAACGAGGAGACGTCACCGGGGCCGTGCCACGCGGATCAAGCGGGCCGCAGGTCACGCAGGTCACGGTGAGTCACGCAGGTCACAATATGTCACGCAAATCACGCAAGTCACCGGTTTATTTCGCAGGTTACGCATGGGTCGCAGGTCATGGTATGTCACGCAGGTCACCGGTGTGTCACGCAGGTCCCGGCCGCCGCTCTGCCTCCACTGGCCGCGTCTAGCGAGCCACACCGCTGCCGGTGGATGCCGCTGCCGGCTCCTGCGTGTGGCCACCGCCGGCCTGGTGCTGCTCTGCCTCTACTACATCATTTACACCCCGTGGGCGTTCAGCTGGCGCGGTGGGTTTCGTCGCTCATTGTGACGGGCAGTGGCTGTACTCAGGCCATTCACAGCACGACATGGTAATCCAACATGCAGCAGACGCCATTAGTTTGCATTTAGCTTCCTCTCAGATGTTTAGCCCGCAAGCAGTTTTTGTTATGAGCAATGCCTAGCGAACACAGGCTGTCGAAGCGGCCAGTAATCTAAACAACCAAATTCAGAGCGCACATCTGTCATTGGGATAAACCGCACGTCATTTAAATGTCAATGTTAATCTTACGCCAGTCCACGCCAGCGCCAGCGGGCCGGATCTTTGCACAGCGAAGCAGGCGGGAACAACAGCATATGTATGTTCTGTATGCTGGCAGGCAGGGTATAGTTTCCTTGTCAGTTTAGGACGGGATCTTCAGCCTCACCCCCGCCCTCCTCCCTTCCCCCAGCTTGGGCTCCATCCCCACCCAACTTTATGAGGAAAGTGGGCCGAAGCCGGGGAGAAATCCGTCTTGGCGGCGTTTTTCACAGTAGCTATCTTCCATTTTTCACCGTTCAGTCCAGCCCCCTCCCCCCAAACTCAATTTGCCAAAGCACGCCGCTGCCGGTAGAATATTAACTACTAGTAATAGTACTGGTCGAAGCAACGTTAAAGGAACACATTAGAAGTGTTGAATGACTTGCGAATGTTAACTGTCATGTACCTCATATTTCAGAGGCACGAATATTTGGATGCTTGACACAGACACGAATATTTGAGTGGTTCACACAAAGAGGCACCAATATTTAAGATGATTATAATTTGGGCTAGTTTATTTGAACGGAACATCCCCGTTGCGTCGTTGATGGCAGCCCCAGGCGCTGTCGCGTTGGCAGTAGGTCGCCTCAGCAGCATTGTCCCTTCACGCAGCGAAGTCAGCAGGGACCGCTGGTTGGCTCCCAATGCCAGAGTTCTGACACCGCGGCCGGTCAATCGCGGACCACGGCCATCTGCTGAGCCTCCAATCTCCCTCAGACAGGGTTTTCTTCAACACCGTCGCTGGTTCCGGCCAGACCCGAGCATCGAGCATCACCACCGCTCTCAGACACATGGGCGTCTGGCCTGGCGACCCGTGTCCAGGAGACGGTGCGCCTGTATTATGGGCGTGTTAAGAACAGCAGCTACGACCCGAACCGCCGGCCGGGCATGTCATAGTTGAACTGGGAGACAACTCTCGACTGGAGAGGTTCGCCCCGGCTGTCAACCATTCCAAAACTTTGCCCATTGTAGTCGCTGGCCGTTGGCCGCAGGTGCATGCAACTTTTAGCAAGCAGAAGGGCGGTTCTTTCAGAAGTGTTCTTTAACACGCGCCTGGGTGGCCGGCTAGATACCCTTCGCTCGGGTGGGGGTGGCGGTCAATTTGACCGCTCTGAGATCTCGGGAACTAAGAAAGCTAGTGACACCAAATTTGCAGGGTGTCTTGAACCGTACGTGAACTCACTTAGGTCAAAGTTTGAGCTTCCTAGGCTATGACCTTCAGGTCGAATAGGGTCAAACAAGGTCAAGTTCTAGGTTGGTCACAAAAGTGCCCCCAGAACCTAGGAAACTGTTACTAAGCAAAAGGTCAAAAGCCCATTTGAGGTCAGTGACCTTGTTTGTCCTTTTGAAGGCTATGGTGACCAAAATCATACAAGACTGCTCTGACTTTTGCATTTGAACAAGCGACAAAGATAACGCTAGGCAGTATGTTCATAAAACAAAATGTTGACCCGAGTCATCCTTGGTCAATGACCTTTTCTGACGTCTAAGAAGTCGATGGAAGATGTATAATGCGGTTCCTGCTGTCACTAAATTCGAAATGAGCACCAATAACAATCCCATACAGCAAGCCCTAGAGTAATAAATCAGGTTGGTTGTGACCTTGGTCTGACCTACATACCTGACCTTAGGTTAACGTTATTTGCTCATTCAATATTGGTAGTGCCTAAGAAAGCATATCAGAGATATATGGCTTCGTCAAACACTCCGTTATTGCATCATATTGGACAATTCTCTAGAAATTGTCTTCGCTGAAGCTATGGCCTGACGTTGACCTGCCATAGGTCAGCGACCTTACAAGGCACATCCAAGTTTTTATGTCAAACGATCTGCTATTCAATTGTTTACAGCTATGCAAAATTTGGCGCGGCTATCCCGTGCCGTTCGGAAACCATTCTAGAAGGCCTTTTCGGGGGGGTCAATTTGACCCCTACCCCACCCGAGCGCGTGTTAAATATTGCTACACATCCGCGCTTAAACCGTTTCACCAGTTTTTTTCTTGCATCGTTGCAATGCCGGTACAGTTTTACCACGCTCATCGAATTTACGAGACACGAAAATTTAATAGTGATACGAAGATGAATACCACGCAGAGTCTGACGGAGAAGAAAACAGAGAACCGTGCCGGCCTAAGACTGGGTCGATGTATTCAGACCAGCACGTGTTCTCGTGCGCAAGCTATGGAACTAAATCTCCATGGAGCCAAATCGCTGTCCCGTGGAACCCCCGAGGCACGTTTTAAGGCTGATGCCAGATATCAACATGTAGAGCGAATTATTATTTGAAGCCGTTTGCAGAGCGCAGCCAAATGTACCGGATTCAATCTATCGGCAAATCCCAACATCGTCGGACCCATAGATGCGCCAGAAGTCTGTCGAAAACCGGCCGCCGTCATCTTATCCCAAACCGATCTCGAGCGCAAGGCGGCCATCAGTCAAGGAAACTGCGCGGGGAGGATGCGGTAATTGCGCTCGTGAGAAAAATGAGTCATGGCCCGCTACGCGTGTACCAACGTGTATCAAGTATACAACGTGTACCAAGTACTGATTGATGGATGATATAATTGATGGATGGACTGAATGATGATAGGCGTCCAGCTACAAAAAAAATCGCCTGGATCGCATGCTAGAGCCGTGGGATCTGTTAGAGCCGTGGGATCCGTCGGGCGTGGTAAGTTGAAAATTTAATTTTCTTCGCAAATACGCATACATTCTCTGTTTAGAGCTTCAGAGAAAAATGAGTCATCGCTCAAATTTGCATACATTTTCTGTTCATCTTGGGTGCGCCTGTGAACGAACAACTGTTTTACAATCTGTTGGATTGTTCGTGCTTTGATTAGCAGGCTCATCACGAACATTCGCAACCGCTGCGACGTGGGAAGTCATTTCGCCTGAATCGACGCTGGTTTTGAAATGCAACCGGAGCCAAACGGCCGCCTGATGTCATGACACCCAAGTGGGCGCATTTTGACGGTCAGTTTGCCGCTGGAACGTTGGCGGTGGTGATTGTGGCGGCGGTGTCAAGTGTTTGTGTGTTGTGGGTATGTATGCTTCGTTTAATTTTCGTCTTGGCTATTTTATTAAGTCACGACAAAATATGGGGATGAGTGGCAGTGGCAACCTCCTCTAAATATATTGCTTACCCCGTTCCAAAGGCCCTGTCTTTGCTCCAGTTCAAATTATTACGAGTCTTGCCAAAAAGGAAACCTCGCAAAGAAATGATGCGGATTAAGGTTCGGCTAATAGGGCAGTGCGTCCTCGATTTGCTTCATCATTGCGTTTTAAATAAGCTCCATTCTAACACCGTTCAAATGATGGTATGCAATGAGTTTGTCAGTCCATTCGCCGGAGTTCCTCCCCAAGAGATCCTGTCTCCTTGTCGCGGAGTGGTTCGCTGTCGAAATGGCGCCGTGGATTTTAGTTATGTCATCGACGTCATCGACCTACATTTTCAAGGGGTTTTGAAAGGCAAAGATCAATGGGGTTTTGGGGCGCTGGGGCAATGGGGCAAATGGGGCTTTGAAAGGGAAAATGAGCTAGCAAAACATGCAAGAAAAGAACGTGCTGCTCAACCAATAAAGCAATGCGACGTTGCATGATATTTGCATGCAGTTCTGTCCATGATTCCCATAATAAGAACTACGCTGCATCTTTTTTACCATGCTTATTGCTGTACGCCGTAAAGAAATGCACGTTTAAAGGTGGGCGCAATTAAATGTAATGGCACCATGCCGTGGTCGCCATTTTCTGAACATGCTTTGCAATTGCGCCCTTTGCAACCTTTTCAAAAACTGCCAGCACCTAAAGTAAAAACGTTTTGTCTGCGATCTGAACTCACCAAAGGACGGGAAAAACATCGAGCTATGTTTTGCACAGATCATGGGCTCCCAGCGCAAGTGGTGTCTGAAAAGTAGTTTTCTTCCCCTAACGTAGCGCAATATGACCACTCTCCCCTAATCCTGGTCATTTTGGCCAGTACTACCTAAAATATTTGTGCGTTTTGCGGTACTTTCATCCCAATTGCCTAACCAAAAATGACTGAGAATTCATGCATATCGTTGACCGACCTTGCTGGGCCTTGTTTGGATGGGCTAGTTGGCCTATTTGGCCCACCTGATGGTGTAGGTCGCTAGAGGTGACTGGCTCCACTGGCTTGGCTTTTGGCAGCGTTCACGTAAGCCAACTGGTATCGCTGTTGTCGCCTCGATTGTGCCACGCCGCAGATAGGGTCTGACTGATGGCGTTTTATTACAGTCCGTTGGACTGCCGAGATTACTTACGCTGCTGTCTCATGTACTGATGATGAGAAGCAGGTGAGGGTTTGCGTGACGTCAAAAACCTAAGATGATGCCTCTCATTCTCGATTATGAACCAAGACATGATAGCCGAGAGGATCCAGGTAGAGATGACAACCGTAATGCCACTCAAATTGTACTCCTCCCCTCGAAATTCAGGTCCCTCCGTTGATTGCTGGCTGCTTCTGGACACCCCTGTCCACAGCAGAACCGATCACGTTTGAAAAAGCGGCCACCACCAACTGTATCAGCCACTACCTAGCCCCAGTCTCGAACGTTTTCACCGTCCACAAACACCGGCTTCCGCCAGCTGTACCAACTACTATCTAGCCCCAGTCTCGAACGCTTTCACCGTCCACAAACACCGACTTCCGCCAATGTACCAGCCACTATCTAGCCCCAGTCTCGAACGCTTTCACCGTCCACAAACACCGGCTTCCGCCAATGTACCAGCCACTATCTAACCCCAGTCTCGAACGTTTTCACTTTCCACAAACACCGGCTTCCGCCGACTATGCCAGCCATTATCCAGCCCCAGCCCTGGACGTCCCCACGGCCCACTTGTGACTTCGACCTCCGATGCTGCCTCCATGGCTTCCTTTGAAATGAGGCCTCTCGACGCTCCCATCAGACACTCTTAGCTCCAGCCTTCAGCATGGTCAAGTTGGACCTCTCTTGAAGATAAGCCTCCGCCACTGACCTTTTTTACTGGTTGTTAGATTTTCACAGCATGCTACAATTAAACATCATGCCAATAAGGTTATCACTGCTTATGGGTATGTCACACTGGTGGGGGCAGAAAAATATCCAGCCGTGGCGGGGAGGTGTCTTCTTACTCGATCACTTTCCGAGGCTCTCTTGGTCACGTAACAGATTACTGAGACGAATTAACTGCTTGCTGCTACGGCGAGTCGCGTGTAACTGCTAGCTGCCTTTGCCATACTGGTCCTTCACTGTTGGGTCCCAAAGGTGACCTTAGGGTCTGTAAACATTCCCTCAGTGTACAGGAAAATGCTACTTATGCCCCAAAACTTATGTATTTAGTACAAACATTTGCCTGCCTATAGGCAACTTATGCATAATTCGCTGACCTCGTCTGATCATCTGAGGTTTTGGTTTCCCGATTGTGTCTGTCGTCTATTTTAGGCGTGTGTTCGATCGTCGCATCGCGCCCGAATTGTGCAATTTACACAGTCGCAGCATGACGTAGATACCGTCGCCCTTAAGAAGCGTTCAATGATTTTGGCAGAGAGGTATGGTATGTTTGAGATAAGAATCAAAGCTGCCAAGTATGACTCATGCTTACCAAGTCTGAGATTTATTTGAGTTGCCTTTGAATTGAGGCCAGACCTGAATCTGGATCCGGTCAGTTGCCTTATTCCGATGAAGACCGAGGAGGCTTACATCAATAAATACCTTAGTCTGGCTCCGATTGCACTTTAATCACTGGTTCAAATACAGTATACCTGTGAAATGAATCGATTCAGCCGAATCCCGGTTCAAAATGGTCTTGCGTCCGGAAGCCATTCCGGGGCGGCAGAACTGAGACCCATACCCGAATCAGGCACCCCTCGGCCGAGACGACCGTGAGTCACACATCCACCCCTCTGCGGAGAGCCCACGCCCGCAGCAGGCCCCCGGCATTGGCCGAGCCCCGCCAACCCGCCTGCGGCCGTCGCCAGGGCCCATTGACTCCGCCCCCCGCCCGCCCGCAGCCGGCGACCGGTCGGCGCCATCTGGAGGGCATAACTCTTCCGCGCCGGCGGTCCTGGTGCCGACGCCGGACGACGTCTGCATCCGCTGGACGGCGCCCGCGTGGCCTGCGCAGTCGGGGGACGACGCCACCCCGCTACCGCCGGTGAGCGTCGCAGCCACGGTCTGCTCGCAGCGTGCAGAGGGAGCGCCACGCGCGCCGGTGTCGGGCGTGGCTCACTGCTGAGGCTACGCTGGCAGTGACGGGGTAATTGGCATCGATGTGTGCCTGGGGTTTGGCTTGAAAGGGCTGTACGGCCGTGACGCTTGTAAATACGTGTGTAGTGTAATTTTTTATCCTTATAGGATAGGAAAACCATAATGAGGAAACATGATTTTTAAGCTGTGAAGCATTATTTTTAATCGGTTTCGCACTATTTCAGATTGCATTTTTGTCTGGAGTCAAGAATCCCTGCTGGCTTCAAGATCTTACGCAGCAAAGTGTAGAATTTCTGGAAAAGAACTGCTATGCAAACTATACGAAAAATAGAAGCATATTCTCAAAACGGTATGCAGAAAGTAAAAACGGCCTTCTGTAAGAGCCAGCCGCGCCTGCTGTTAACATCGCAGTTTGCATGAAATAAGGGAAAGATGAAACAGCTATTGAATTGTCTGAAATATTAGGCAGTTTTTGACACGGTTATACACTTGATTATGTTAATTCCGCAGCTCATTGTCAACCATGAACACTAAATGTGCAGCCATCCTACGCGTTATATCACAGACACTAGCGTGCCTGTAAATATGTCACTTCCACTGAGGGAATTTAGTGAAGGCCGCACGATCAAGCTTGGGGGGCCCAACGGAGGCTGCTTGGTCAAGCTCAGCTTGCTCAACAGAGGTTGTGTGGTCAAGCTTAGCGGGCTTAACGGAGGCTGCATGGTCAAGGGTGGGGGGTTCAGCGGAGGCTCCATGGTCAAGCTTGAGGGTGCTCAACGGAGGTTGCGTAGTTAAGCTCAGAGGGCTCAACGGAGGCTGCATGGTCAAGCTTAAGGGTGCTCAACGGAGGTTGTGTGGTCAAGCTTAGAGGGCTCAACGGGGGCTGCATGGTCAAGCTTAAGGGTGCTCAACGGAGGCTATATGATCAAGCTTAAGGGTGCTCAACGGAAGTTGTGTGGTCAAGCTTAAGGGAGCTCAACGGAGGCTGCATGGTCAAGCTTAAGGGAGCTCAATGGAGGCTGTATGGTCAAGCTTAAGGGAGCTCAACGGAGGCTGTATGGTCAAGCTTAAGGGGGCCCAGTGAAGGCTGCGCGGCTAAGCCTTTCCGCCTAATCAAATTTGAAATAGGGCGCTATCCACATTTGCTGCGGTCAGGTCCACCTGCCTGATCGGATTTTGCATAGAAACTAATCGAATTTGCCACAAAGTTAGTGAGCCGGAGCGCCGAGCTGGTGGTTGCGCCAGAGAGCTGCGCCGCCACCGCACCCATCAGCTCAGCTCCAGCGCCGTGAGCTGAGCGTCCGAGCTGGTGGCTGCGCCAGAGAGCTGCGCCGCCACCGCACCCATCAGCTCAGTTCCAGCGCCGTGGGCTGGGCATCCGAGGGCCACTGCCGTTGTCGCCAGGGCGCAGCGCTACCGGCCGTTCGTCAGCGAGCCGGCGTCGGTCCTGCGGCTGCGCTGCCTGCCTTATTTCTACATCGTGGGCCAGCCCAAATGTGGCACCACGGACCTGATGCACCGCATCAGCCTGCACCCGCACGTGCTGGCCGGCACGCTCAAGGGCCCCAACTGGTGGACACGCGCCCGCTTCCCCCTCCAGCCAGGTACGCCGCTGATGCGCCACGCTCCTCACTGGTGACATCGATTTAATCGAAGATCCTGGGTTGCGCAAAAATGCTTAACAAACAGTATAAATAAAAGGATAGTATTACCTAAATATGACTGATGTCGTATGACTTCTGTTATGTTACTTCTGTTATATCACTACTGATGTATTAGCGGTGTTGTATTATCCATGTTATGTTACTACTGGTGTATCACCAACCTCGTATTACCAAGAACATGCGGCCATCGGACGCACGCTACTTTATTAATTCGCGTGGTAATGTGTTGTATCGGACAAAGAGCAAAGGCCGTGGCGTGAACAACGTCAACAATGATGCGGGTCCGGCGATGTCCAGTTTCATAAAACGAAATTAAACATAGGTACCTCATTTGCGTCGTGTAAGCATACAACGCGAGCAAGCGCATTTTGTTTGATCTCCGAGTTAGCCCCAGTTGATCTCCCAGTACTCTCAACCATTGGCAAGTAGGACCAATCGATTGCACCAAGTCGTTTTTTGATGTATGTCTCATTACGATGCAAATCAGAAATGTACAGACCTGGGCTTTCGTTTCATAGTAGGACTGGGATCCCGCCTGCCTGCCTGCTGTCTGCTCGCTGTGCTGTTTGTGGCTGTCTGTAGTACCAACGAATCACGATAAGGGTACAGACTTCCCGAGACGTGGCCGCTGGAGCACGAGCAATATATCTTCTCATGTGGCGTCTAAAGCATTTTTCTTACCTTACATGCATGTGTCAAAGTCTAGATCGGAAGTCTAATACCGTTCTCCGACAGATCGGGCTGTGTAAAGATCAGAAGTCTAGTATCGCTCTCCGACAGATCGAGCTGTGTGAAGATCGGAAGTCTAGTATCGCTCTCCGACAGATCGAGCTGTGTAAAGATCGGAAGTCTAGTACCGCTCTCTGACAGATCGGGCAGTGTAAGGAATGAAAGTCTAGTGCCGCTCTCCGACAGATCGGGCAATGTAAAGATCGGAAGTCTAGTACCGCTCTCCGACAGATCGTGCAGCGTAAAGGACCGTTCTCGCTGTGTCTTACACCGTACCGCTCCATTACGCTCCACCTTACGACCGTCAGCGACGATGACAGTCAAAATAACTAACAACGGATAGCCAGAGTTCACGCTCGCTGGCGTCGATCAGTCGGCGCGGGCGTCGATCAATTCTTACATTGGTAAGAATTACACACGCCGAGGCCAAGCGTGTGCGGGCACGGCGACGACCGGTCCCGACGCGAGCTGACGTAAGAGCCGCGGTTTCGGCAGGTCAGGCCAGCCACTGCGGTCGCCAAGTGGCGTTCCAGGAGTACGTGGACTCGTTCGAGATGGTGGCGGCGCAGCTAGCCGGGGCCGACTGCGGCGGCGGCAGACCCGGCGCGCCCTGGACACCAGCCAGCCGCATGATCACAGGTGCGCCACGCAGGCCTAACACAGCGGCCGGCCGGCTCTAAACACTCGGCCGGCGGCGTCCCGGTCGCGGGGAGCCGCGCGACACGTGCTCAGGGCTCGGCACCCGCAACAAGCGCCTGCTCCACGCCCCTGTGAACGATTCCAAGTATTTGATACGTCGTGCCATGCCCAAAATGTTTGTGAGCTTAGCCTGAGACACGACTTGTACATACGTTGGTGTTTCATTTGTTAGCAGCCATTCATTTTGATCGATCATCATCGATCATTTGTTAGTAAACGCACTCTGCGTGTGATGTGGGCATCATAATCATCATGTGGCATCTCCAAGGCAGTCTGAATATGACCGCACTCTAATGATAGGAAGAAGTTATCGTCGTTTAAATGACTGCCTTTCTTCAAACAACAGCATGCGCTCAACTGGTGGCTTTCACCTAAGTGACCATAGTTTTTTTTTCAAATTTCACTCTTCATTCAATCATGCAGGATACTGCAAGCGTAGTTACGATGTGCATCTAGGAGACGAGCGGCACGGGTTCGGTCCTGCGCGGCACCGGGTTCGATTCCCCGTGGCACTGGGTTCGATTCCCCGCGGCACCGGGTTCGATTCCCCGCGGCACCGGGTTCGGTTCCCCGCGGCACCGGGTTCGATTCCCCACTGCACCGGGTTCGATTCCCCGCGGCACCGGGTTCGATTCCCGCGGCACCGGGTTCGATTCCCCACTGCACCGGGTTCGATTCCCAGCGGCACCGGGTTCGATTCCCCGCGGCACCGGGTTCGATTCCCCGCGGCGCTCGCGGTTTGTACCAGGACGAGAGGCAAGTGATACCGTATGGCAGCAGCAGCTGAGTGCTTCGTAAAACTCCAATTACATCCAATTATATTCGTTCATTTATTCCTCGCCCATAACCCATCCTTTGATAATAACCTCACTTGTCAGATATATAGTGTCGTGCCCTTATGCGGAATCAATACTGAAAATGACACCGCACCAAAGCAAGATAAACATATGTTGCCACGTCGGGTGCACGATTTTCTTGACCGTCAATGTTTCCACAACATGAGTTTTCTGACCGCGTGCTGTCTGTGTGTTAGTATTCCATCAAATCTATGTCCCGCCTGATCATGCCCGTGGTGCCCTCTGTATCGGTTTGTAGATTACCACCGACACAGCTGCTGCATCAGATGCCTCAGCAGCGGATGTGCTGAGGGAGGGAGCACCTGATTTCCCGGCCCGATGGTTACTCATTTGAAATGAAACAGCCGTTAGCTATCGCTGCGCAGTTATCAATGCAAGAAACTAGGACGGATGAACCTTGCTCCAGTCCAGTCGAGAACGTATGCAGGTTCCCATGCTCTCCAGCCCCACTATTCGACATGTGTATTTCTGCCCGCTGAAGTCAGCTGCCAGTGACACTCCATCAGCTCTGGCCGCGCCCCCGCCGCCCGCGCACCGGCACTGACGTCGACCTCGACGCCCGGCAGGCGATGGCAGCACGTCGACTCTCTGGGGCGGCGTGGCCCACCGAGCTGCCAGGGAGGCCGGGCTGACTATGTTCCCGCCGCTCGGCCGCTCCGTGGCCGCCGGCCTGGCCAGACTGCAGCCGCGCGCTCGCATCATTGTCATCCTGCGCGAGCCCGGCGACAGGTGGGCGGCCGCAGCTGTCCGACAGCCGCAGCTGTCCGACAGCTGCAACTGTCCGACAGCCGCAACTGTACGGCGGCCGTAACTGTCCGGGGCCGACACTGTCCGGCGGCCGTAACTTCCGGGGGCCGTAACTGTCCGGGGGGGGGGGGACTGTCGGATAGCCGCAACTGTCCGGCGGCTGTAACTGTCCGGGACCGCAACTGTCCGGCGGCCGCAACTGTCCGGGGCGGGGGGTAACTGTCTGACAGCCGCAGCTGTCCAGCGGCCGTAGCTGTCCGACAGCCGCAACTGTACGGCGGCCGTAACTGTCCGGGGGCCGCATCTGTCCGACGGCCACAACTGTCCGGCGGCCGCAGCTACCTGAAAGCCACAACTGTCCGGGGGCCACATCTGTCCGACGGCCACGACTGTTCGCCGGCCTGTCGACGCGGCGGGCCGACACCACAGCAGCGGCTCGACTCCGGGATGGAGGCCCACGTGTCTCTTTTGGGGACGGCAGGGAGTCCAACGGCTCCGCCATGCTCGTACCCGTCATCCTCGACTTGGCAGGATGTGTCGTTTTTCCATAAGACAGCTTCTCCAGCCCGCCCAAATCGGGAGGCGCACGAATAAGTGAAAGACGATACGGCTTCCTCCATTTTCTCCTTCAATAAACCACCGCGCAGCAAACTGGAATATACAGATGCCGTGCCAATATCATTCGTCTAGGTAACTGCGACACACGATGGAAAAGCTTCCGCGAGGAGCTCAAGCATACGGGACTGTTGTCACAGGCTTGCACAGTCCTTGTGACATGACTTCTTTAACACGCGCCCGGGTGGCCGGTTGGATACCCTTCGCTCGGGTGGGGATCAGTTTGACCCCCCGCGTGAGATCTCAGGAACTAAGAAAGCTAGAGATACAAAATGCACAGGGTGCGTTGACCAATACGTGAACTAACTTGGGTCAAAGTTCGAGGTTCCTAGGTCATGGCCTTTGGGTAAAATAAGGTAAAACAAGGTCAAATTTCAGGTTGATCTCCAAAGGGCCCCTGGAACCTAGATAACTGTTGTAAGTTTATAGGTCACATGCTCATCTAAGGTCATTAACTTCGTTTGACCTTTTGAAGGTCATGGTGACCAAAATCATACAAGACTGTTTCGACCTTTGCATTTGGATAAGCGACAAGGATTACGCTAAACAGCATGTTCCTAAAAACGAAGTGTGGACCTGGGTCATTCTAGTCAGTGACATATTTTGATCTTTAAGAAGTGTATGCAAGCTGTATAATGCAGTTCCTGTTATCAATAAATTCGAAATGAGCACCAGAAACCGCCTTATACAGCAAGCCCTACAGTAAAATAACATGTTGATTTTGACTTTGGTCTAGCCGTCATATCTTACCTTACGTCAATGCGATTTGTCAGTTCAATTGTTGTGTTGCCTAAGAAAGTATATCAGAGATGTATGGCTTTGTCTAACGCTCTGTTGTTGAATCAGATTGAAGGACCCCTACCAATTGTCCTCGCTAAAACCATGGCCTGACTTTGACCTGGCATAGGTCAGCGACCTTACAAGGTACACCTTAATTATTGGTGTCAGACAATCCGCTATTTAATTGACTACATCTACGCAACATTTGGTGCGGCTACGCCGCACCTTCCGGCAGCTATTCCTGAAAAACCTGCGGGGCGGGTCAAGTCGACCCCCACCCGAGCATGTATTAAATATCGAGTGTCCACCTGTTTTTAAACGATAATCATACCACCGAAGCCTTCTTACCCTCAGGCTATTCTCCGACTACTTGTATTTTAACGCCGATTTGGACAAAGAAAAGAACGCCGATGGGTTCCACAACCTGACGCTCGAGGCCGTGGCGATCTGGAACAACTGCACCACCTTTAGGAGCGTGGACGACTGTGTCACCGACCGCTCCGTCCTCCTCAGTTTCGGGGTGAGGAAGACGGGCGCAGGCGGGTCCGGGACCGGGTTCAAGGAAGATATAGGGGTGGGACTGGTGGAGTTAGACCAGCATGCTCGGCAAGCCCTGCACTATGCGGCTTTGGGGATATGGTGCAGTAAGCACGTAACACGCAAGTGAAGGGGACAAATGCACATGCCAGCTTCGATTCGGTGCGAGCACGTGTAACGGCGTTGAGCTCGATTCTGATGAGACACACGGGTGACGGATCTATCCTAGTTTTTGACGGCGGTGAATGTATGAGGGCCGGGTAGTGCTGACCTTCTTGATGGAGGGAGGGGAGGCCGCAGTCCCCATGCGCCACTTTCCGTTGCATCCAGACGCCTTGTTTGGTCAGCCGCTACCACATGTCTGCCACATGTCATGTGCATGACATGTGTGTGACATGTCTGCCACATGTCTGCCACATGTCTGTGTTCGCAGATCGTGCGTCTGCATGTGGGCCTGTACGCCGTGCATCTGCGACAATGGCTGGAAACGTTCCCGAGGCCGAACATCCTGGTACTGCGTACGGAGGACTACTCCAGGAATGTCAACCACAGCATGCTGCAAGTGTATCAGCACCTCGACTTGGGTACGACTCCCAGACACTGGCACATCAACACGTGGAGATCACATGGACACGTGGTACCCCCACCCCGCCCGCCCCTCCCCCACATTATGTCCACAACTTTATTCCGCGCGTCAACGGAGCGTGAGGAATGTCTGACAGTGCTCGCCACCTGCCAACGACTTCATGATGTGCCGTTACGTATGACTTGCTGGTTATTGCCAGTACCACCAACATTTCTGCAAGTGGTTTTTAGACCAGCGGCATTTCTCGGCTGACAAAATGTTCCGTACCAATAACAGCCATTTGTGCCAGAGGCCAACACCAGACACCTTAAATGATGTCTTAAAATCCCGCTTGAGCACATGAGTTGTAGCGTAAAGACTTTATGTTTCCTCGCCTGTTCTCTGTGTTATATGTGAAACGTACTCTTCTTGACAAGTTTTCGGACCATGGTGTGGGTTGTTCTTCAGGTGGTAGTAAAAAAAAAATGGTAAAGGTATTAAAAAACACCACCTGAAGAATGACCCACGAAATGGTTTGAAAGCTTGCGTAGAAAACTGGGAGTTGTTCCCTTAACACACGGTGAAAGCTCCGAAACAGTGCATCTTAATTTGACACTTTCGTCGCATGCATGTGCTTGCCGACACCATCCTGACGTTCCAAACGTTCCAGAGCTCGACACCACACCAGTCACGGGGCCTGAGGCCACCCCTGCCTGTCCAGAGCCCGACACCACACCAGCCACGGGGTCTGAGGCCACCCCCGCCTGTCCAGAGCCCGACACCAACACAGCGACGGGGCCTGAGGCCATTCCCGCCTGTCCAGAGGTCGACACCACACCACTCACGGGGCCTGGCGCCACCCCTGCCTGTCCAGAGCCCGACACCAACACAGCGACGAGGCCTGAGGCCACCCCTGCCTGTCCAGAGGTCGACACCACGCCTGTCACGGGGCCTGGCGCCACCCCTGCCTGTCCAGAGCCCGACACCAACACAGCGACGGGGCCTGAGGCCACCCCTGCCTGTCCAGAGGTCGACACCACGCCTGTCACGGGGCCTGGCGCCACCCCTGCCTGTCCAGAGCTCGACACCACACCAGTCACGGGGCCTGAGGCCACCCCTGCCTGTCCAGAGGTCGACACCACGCCTGTCACGGGGCCTGGCGCCACCCCTGCCTGTCCAGAGCCCGACACCAACACAGCGACGAGGCCTGAGGACACCACGCCTGTCACGGAGTGTCACCTGTCCAGAGGTCGACACCGCCCCTGCCTGTCCAGAGCTAGACACCACGCCTGTCACGGGGCCTGACACTGCCCCTGCCTACACTCTTCTCCCTCGAGACCCTCCATTCCGTCACCGCCTCGCTTCACACCGGTGACGTCACCCACCGGCCCAGGACCTGACCCCGACCCGTCCCCAGCGCCACCGTCAGAGCAAGACATGAGGCTGGTCAACTCCGCTCGGGTCCTCAACGCGCGGCGAACCAACCTGCAGCGGATGCAGATGTTGGCCGAGACGCGGCAGCTGCTGACGGACTTTTACCGGCCACACAACGAGCGGCTGGCAGTCCTGCTCGGGTCACAGCGCTTCCTCTGGGAGGATACGTGACCAGCGCCCGGCCGCCGTGGCCGTCTGGACGTCTCACGGCCCCACTCGCTGCGACGAGTGCCAGCGAGAGCTACGCATGCAGGCGTGGAGAGTTGCGGCATCAGAGGCCGGGCATCTAGTGCCTTTGGTGCTGGCTGAACGGTGCGAGCGAGGCTGTTCTCGTGACCACCGGCGCGCGGTCGACCCGGTTTGTATCCAGTCATGTTCCATCGTCGTGTCATCGCATGTTAGCTGGGTCAGGGACAACTGCCCGATTTGCCAACGGGTGGGGCGCAGCAGCCGAAATGCAGCTGGAACGTCACCTGTATGACATACAATATGTAATACGCGTGTAAAAGTTACATGTGTGATTGCACGGCGTGTCATGCCATCAGTGGTACAGAAAAGCGCGCGGTCTACTCGCTGCGCCGTGCCCAGATCACTGGAGCTGTTCTGCCATTGCGAGTTTGCAAGGGCGGCTTGGGACGCAGGTGGCTCTAATACCGGTAAACTCAGAGCCGATCTGGAACGTGTCGCTGTGTGCCTTGCCATGCACTACGAGACAGGACTTTCTGGACAAGATATTCATGCCGATAAACCCACCATCAGCGGAGAACACGCATACAGTGGTAACGCAGATACTGAGGCTGGTCTTGCCGTGATTTCTCCCCGAACGCAACGCGTTCCGCCGGATGATTCTGACAGTCATTCGACGGAACTGTCCGAACTTGGGCGGTCCAAGTCGGTGTGCCGTATTATTCCCATGGAATGAAGGTTGCACTGTATCTACCTCCTGCGGGAAGCATGCCAATGTGCCACTATGTGGTGAAAGCCGCTTGTAAAGGATTCGTACTGCATAACTGCACTAACTTGCCAGCATTGCTTCAATGAGGACTGGAGAAAGGGGGCAGGTCATCCCTGCCAAGGCGACGTGTTTTCAGGAGGAGCCAGAGCAGGGCGGTGCGCTGTCAGTATTCATCGCCTGCCACCGGAGCGAGAGGCGACGCCCGGTTATCCCGTGTCCGAGTGCCGTGTCTACCTCCATCCAATTCGTACCAGCCGCACTCCGTCCCGGACAAACACGCGTCTGGTTGTCACCTGTATTGGCTGCAGTGGTCAGTGCCGCCGTGACGTCATCAGTGCCCGTCTCCCCTCCGGCCCACGCTCCCAACCATCCGCTCCGGGGTCGCCCGTCGCCCAGCCCGGGCCGCGGCCCGCCGGTCACGACGGCGGCTCGTCGGCCTCGTCGCCGTCGCCGGTGGTCTGCCAGGCGTCCTCCTCCGAGAGGAAGCGCCGCTTGCGCGCCGTGTTCATGTAGGGCCGCAGCACCCACTCCAGCTCGGCGGTGGCGCCCTGGTCCAGCGTGCCCAGCCGGATCTCGTACACTGCCGGCGAGGGACGGACCGTCAGGCAGCCACGGGTCACACACCCCGCAATGTGAGGTTTCTCATGTTTGGCACGGGCAACCGTGATTAATGAGCACGTTGCCGAAGCATTTGATGGAGCGCGCCTGGAGGAGACGCTACATGCCCGCGGAAGGGCATGGCGACAGACCCCTCAGAAAACCGGACGATGGCCGGGCCTAGCAAAATATCCGCTGCAATACGCCGGGGCAAACCCGGACCCCACAAACGCGTCGGGAGAAAGGCCTGGTCAAAAAACACTCAGTCCTGACAACCGCCTCCCAGCATTGCGGACTGCGTGCCCACACCAGCACAGCACCAGCGGATACGCACCCCGTCAGGACAAGGACAAACAGGACATCACACAGACACTCGCCTCATCAGACGGGATATCAGACAGACGCACGCTCTCTCAGACTGGACAAACAGGACATCAGACAGACAAACACCTCATCGGACAGAACAAACAGGACATCAGACAGACGCGCGCCTCACCAGACAGGACAAACGGGATATCAGACGAGATATCAGACAGACGCGCGCCTCACCAGACAGAATAGACAGGACAACAGACAGGCACGCGCCTCATCGGAAAGGACAGACAGGACATCAGGCAGACGCACGCCTCATCAGACAGGACACCAAACAGACGCACGCCTCATCAGACGGGACAAACGGGACATCAGGTTGCCGCTCGCCTCATCCGACGGGAAATCACAGACGCTCGCCTCATCAAACGGGACAGACAGGACATCAGACAGACGCACGCCTCATCAGACAGGACAAACGGGACATCAGGCTGCCGCTCGCCTCATCCGACGGGAAATCACAGACGCTCGCCTCATCAAACAGGACAGACAGGACATCAGACAGACACGCGCCTCATCGGACAGGACAGACAAGCGCACGTGGCGCGCCTGTCCGCCCGTTTCCCCGGGTCCGGTCGGAAGTCGCCCCGGTAGCTCACGTTTCAGCAGAAAGCGCGGGCCAGCCTCGCTGAGCTGCAGCTCCCGTCCGCCGCCGGCCGCCCGCCGGTACGTGTGGTGACGGAACAGGATGTAATCGTCGTGGTTGATGAAGGTCAGCACGCGCTTGCTGTCCTCCTTCGGCACGGGGAACAGGTACTTGAGAATGTCCTGCACCTGGAGCAGGGCGGCGACGTCGCGGTCAGAGCGTCGCTCGGTCATGGGGAGTCAGGACGAGCAAAGGCGAAGCCGCAGCCGCTCTAATGGTCTGCCCGGTCAGAGCGCCGCTCGGTCATGGGAAGTCGGGACGAGCAAAGGCGAAGCCGCAGCCGCTCCAATGGTCTGCCCTCGGTCATGGGAAGTCGGGACGAGCAAAGGCGAAGCCGCAGCCGCTCCAATGGTCTGCCCTTTCCCTCCAGCAGTCCCTCAAAGAACTTTCAAACCGCACCTGCCTTTGTCGCAATAAGCACTAAACTCACCTTCTGCGATAAATGGCAACACTGTGTGTGACGAAGTACAACAATGCCCTTTCAGGGAAAGCTGTAGGTTAAGTTGCACTATCTATTTCGCAAAAGCAACCTAAGCAACGGTACCTAACAAGCTCACTCCTCACGCACGAAGCCGTTACAACAGTGTCGTCCGTTCGAGAACGAAGTCGTGACGTGATTCGTGGGTCTGCATCGAAGCGCATGTCAGGGCACAGCCAGCTGCGAGCAGCGCTTCGCGTCGAGGCGCTCACCCGCCGGCCCAGCTTGGTCTTGAAGTTGTGGAAGACCGAGGTGCGGGTATTGCTCGGACATGGTGCCGATGTCGGGGATGTCGTGTCGCATCACCACGTCCAGCAGGGTGAAGTGGGCCGTCGGCCCATACGGCAGGTGACAGACAGTCAGGCCGGCCGGCTCGCCGCGGTGCTCGCTGATCTGCCGGGTCACAGCCGGGGTCAGCGCCGAGCGCGGCCGAGGGCGCCCGCTGCCCGGGGCACGGGACGCGCCGTCAGCTGTCTCCGGCGAGACACACAAGTTCGTGCCTACATCATATACCAATATATATATATATATATATATATATATATATATATATATATATATATATATATATATACCAGATTACATACATATATACCCAAACACACGCAGGAACGAATGAACGCACGCACGCACGCACGCACGCAAGCACACAAACGGTACAAGCACTGCACCCAAATAGCCCAAAAAGCCCATGCCGGCGCCGCGCCGGCCGCTTCGCATCCGTCCATTCGACGCGATCCCAGCGCTGCCTGGCGCTCACCTTGATAAAGTCCGTCACGCCATTGGCCCGACAGGCGTCCAGCAGCTGGGTCAGCTCGTAGCCGCCGCGGTTCATCCGCTGCGCGTTCGGAAAGACCAGCTTCATCTCCTGCAGCACGCAAACACTCGGTAAACTGTTGGGTCATACAATGGGCTTGAAGGTCAGATAGAGTTTGTGTGACTCATGCATGTCGTGCCTAATGACAATACTTGTCATGGTGCAGCACACGGAATGTGACGGACTCAAAACAAAAACGAGGGCACAAGCTTTTAGGTTCCTCGATACGTCGCCAACCAGGAGACACCGAACAAACAGGAGGATAGTGAGAGCTGCAAAACTAGCATGATCCACACCACACAGTTCCAATGGTATCACACAGCACAGATGCAGACCAGCACAGATAGCACAGATGCAGACCAGCATGCATGGGAGACCAGGCGCACAACACAGCAGCCAGCGCTGGCCGGCGGGCCGACCTTGGCGAACTTCTTGAGCCGCGAGCTGGGGTTCCTCGAGGTGGTGATAATGATCTTGGGGTCGTACACGCCCGCCCAGCGATACTCGTCGTCCACGTGGGAGGTGGCCGCACCGCCCGACTCTGTGCCGGCTTCGGCGGCCAGACGCGGTCCGGCGTCATCCCACTCGCCCTGCGCGTGCAGCTTCAGGCCCTCATAGCGCAGGTCGGTGTCCAGCGGCCGATTCTCTGGCGGGCGAGACCAGGCGTCAGCAGGAACATGCCCATTGGAGGAGGGGCTGCCATCACAGAGCTGCCACATGACCTAACAAGTCATGCTTTCCTCCTGGCATGCTGTTACAGGATGGCATCCCTCACAGCCATGGAAGATGACCTGAAATCAGCCTAGAAGGTCAAATCAAAGACCACACATTAACTTTGAACATCTGAAAAATGAGACCAAGACATGCCACACAAAACCTGTGACCCATGTTCAATTTATGGCCTCACTCTTGTAATTGGGTTGTGTTTGGGTGGTGTTTACTCTATCTATCATATTGCCATGCAGTCTGACATAATACCCAAGAATTATTTGCCCAAGTTATTTAACCAACATAGATAATTCCAGATAGCAGCTTTCTGCCATCACTTGGCAATTTCAGGCCCTTTCAGTCTGCATGTATAGCAAGGCATTGGCCCCAGCCTGGATGAGATCAATGAGTATACTAAAACCATGTTAGTCATAATGTACCGATGACCATGAACACCTGATTTCTTATCATCTCAGAGGAAAGCCACAAAGATGACTGGGAAAACACCAACCTGCCAATGCTGCCTTCAGACGATCCTTTTTATCTTGGGTGGTCCTCTGACGCTCCTCAATTGACTTCCTGAATAAATACTCTCTCCTCAGCCGTGCTTGACGCCGAAGCTGGAATATAAGGAATGCACATAACATCAATTCCAGTGCATGTTATGTATTGGGAGTTTTTAAGCTATTTCTATGCATCAGAAGGTTAAATATGGCATATATTTATTTATTTATGTATCACACAATGGTCAACATATGTTTCATGCCATTTAACCAGTGCCTCCTGGTTACTTGAGTCAATGACGGTCTGCAGAAGAATGTCCTACTCTTAATACTGAAGGGCTCAATGCCTTTCTTACTTATATCAATGATGAGCATGTTATGCCCATGCAATGTCAGGTACATTATGGAACAATGCAGGCAACAGCACCTGTGGGTTGGCAAATCAACATACTTAAGTTCCAGCATAATATTGTACTGCTAGAGCTAGAATACTGAAAATGCATCACCATATGCTCTCCACTGGAATAACCTGTTCATGCATGGCCAACCTTCATACTGTCATGCTTCACAGCATTGTGCATAAGCATTATCCATTCCAAATGCTCTTAGACAGGCAAAAATAACCCTGCACCATAGCCACCAAGAAAAGCCTCAGCGACATAGCCAGGTAATGCAAATGACAAATATGCAGGAGAATTCAAGAACCCCATTGCCAGCAACAAATATAGTTATATCTAGGAAAAGCATGCCTGTCATGAACCTTACATTATACTGGGGAGCACTTGCAGTAATGGCTTTGTCAAGATTGTCTGTCATCGAATCACCATTTGTTTTAATACCCCAGATGGAAGGCAAGGCCTATGGGTTTCAAGGTTTCTGCAGAAACCATCATTCAGTGCAAGGATCAGGGCAAATATCCACCAGCCTATGAACAACTATAATGGTGGAGGTCTTGACAGCAGGCAAATGTCTGTAACTGTCCAGCAAGGACGGCAATCTTCATCATACTGCGCCAACCCCTGCCCCTAAAAGCTTACCATCGTGATTCCCTCAGAATTGAGGCTGTGTATTGAAACCGCGGTGGATCAAGTTTTCAGTTGGCTTCACCGACCGACCACTCCTTCATCTTGAACACACTACGCTCCTAATTACTACGGCCTTCCTACCGCAATCAAGCTGCCATAAATTGACTCCCAATCAACACGCGACCACCACGCGAACTCAGCACCTAGCAAGCGAGCCCCGCATCGCCATTCATTAGCCTCGAATGCGCGCAGCATGCGCGTGTGCGGTAGTGTACGAAACGTCTGCGCCGTTTCCCGCGCCATTCTGCATGAAAAAGAGATCACTAATTTGTGGCCATTTCGTAGCCGATCGCGTTGTTGCCTTCAGGCATTGTTTGCAGTTTCTGACCTACCCTCACCATAGTTGCCATTTAATCATAATTTTGAGTACTCACTGGCTAACAAAAGTTCCAACCGAATTATACCTTAGCATGGTGTTCGGAGCAAGGAGATCGAGGTAAGATAACATAAGTAAGAAATAAAGAAATGGCTGTAAGAATCCTACGATCGTGCTTTCCGTATAAATGCACCCGGCAGTACACCGTTGGTAGCGTGGAAAAAGCGATGGGTGCAACCACAGGCGTAGGAACGTTCGAAAAAGTATGGGACAGGCTCAGGGTATACTTCTGGAACTTTTTCTTGGAAGCAAGCCCGGCGACCAGGCGAGGGGTGGGGGGAGGTAGAGATGGAAGTAATTGTCCGCTCACAATTCACCCTGACATATTTTGAAAACATTAAAATCCTATTGGACTCATCCATGTCATTCGGTAAATAAGGTCATCCAACTTCCCACGATTATTCGTCCATTTCAGCATTGTTTCCCTGGGTAGGCGAATGCCTCGAGCGGGTCGGTATTTGGGGCGCTTGAGGGGGCATTTACTTCCACGGGGTAGATGCCAAAATACGAACTCGACGATTGCTGGTCAGAATTTTAAATGACAATCGATGGCCCATAGTGGACCTGAGTTTTCATGTGCCTAGATGTTACGGGTTATTTTTCTAGAGAGAAGATCTGTCGCATCATGGTGGGCGGAACTAATTCGAAAGCTTCAAATACTAACTGTTGGAAACAATGTGATTTACAAAGAAAGGCATTAAACTGGATTTTGTCCTGTAAAAAAGCCAAGTCATAGAATGAGGCTCTCCTGTCATATATTCCTTAGCCTGAGCCCTTTTCCCGTCCGTCGCCGGCAGCCACACTGCCAGTGACCCTGCTGCCCCCCCCCCCCCCCCCCTCCCCGCCAGGACTGACTGCGGACTGATCGTATGGCCGCTTTGCTGCGTAGTTGTGCAACAGCATTACTACCAATCAGAGTGTAAAACATACATGGGCCACCTGCAGCAGTACCTTTTTTCCAAATTGTCTCCCCTCCACACCACCGCAGAAAAAACTTCCGGGAAGCTGCCTGTCTCCCATATGAATGGGATGCGGTGGCGAGGGCACCGCCACCATTCAAAAATACGCAGCCTTATCTATCAGCACGTACGCGTGTTGTACAGTAAAGACATATCTAACGAACCGCATCGGTTGTTGGTGACAAAGTCGTGATGAAACGGCGTAGGGATCAGCAGATACATGCAAGCCACGTCAAGAGCGCGTCTGGCCGAACTCGTCGCTGAACTTCCACACTTTCCGGCTTCCGAAAACTGGCGCGGCTAGAGGCTCCGCTCAATGTGAACACAAACTGGCGTCACATGTGCAGACAACGTTAAACGCGGCAGTGGTCGACGGATTACCCGTGACCATTGAATTACTTGTTCTGTTTCCGGACATAGGTTAGGGTAGGACACGACAGCAGTTTTGCCTCAGCGTTGTGTCGCGCGCTTCAGTTTCGCTGACTTTGGGAACCTGAGATGTCGAGAACACCCGCCTCCCAGTCCAGTCTCTTCCACCATGAACGCGTCTGATAGCTCACGCCGTATTCGCCACCTTCCCTTTTACCCAATGCTGATGCTTCTTTCTCTACGCAAAAACAATGCTTCCAGACGCATTTATTTAACCAGTTTTATAAAACAGACTGTGTCCACATTACGGATCCAGCCAACCCATCGGATCAAATGTGTCCCACAAGATGGCGCCTAGGGCCGACTCACACACGGCAGATGAAACGAAGCCGACCTACAGCATCCAGGACTATCCGTGCTTCGGACATGCCTGACCAGCATTAGCTTACACAAGATCAACAAGCGAATAAGTTTAGCTGGATGCCCAACGGAAACACATTCTGGGAAACACGAAACACGTCTGTGTTAGCTGGCTCCGCGTATACTACACCTCCCCAGGTGAAACACCCCACCTTCCGGGCAGCGGCTTCTGGATCGCGCGTCGTCCGGTCACGGTGTCTGAATACGTTTGGAGGCGGGGACTGGTGCCAAACAAAACAGCGGCGCTCGGGGCAGGCGGACCGACTCATCCAGCGGGGTACGGGCTTGAAAAGGGTGAAAAGAAGTCCGGAGCGCGCGCGCGCGCGCGGCCGCCGCTCGCCGCCGCGCCCTAGTCGTCGAAGCCCTGGGAGAGGAGGAAGTTGGCCGCCATGTTCTCGTTCTTCTCACACGCAAAGTACGCCTGGACGACCAGCTGCTCCGGGAAGCCCAGCGCCTTTAGCTGGAACGAAACATGAGGGGTCAGTGGGCTGGCAGCCACGCCGACTTCATGCCGACAGACCGTACCAGAGCACACGGCAGCAGCGCAAACACGCGCCACGGGCCAACGATATTCGGATAACCGGTGGTCTTATCGGGGGAAGCGACGTGCGAAGATAGTGGCGGCGTTTAGTCGGCCGACGGTACGGGTGCATGCCGCACAATGCAATACAAGGTGCATGGCTGGCTTACTGCTCAAAACAAATATAGATCTTGACATACACATACAGATCTAGACACACATAGCAGATCTACATTTGGGCTCGATGCCGATATGACGGGAAAACACGGCCAGGATCTGTTTTTGGTATAAATGCCACGTATTGGCATTCAAACTGAGCCTTGCCGGCATGTTTGGCACCACTGCAAAAATCCGACATTCGAAAAGAGCGAAAAGCAAAACGTTCAAGGATGCTTTTAAAGGGGCCACTTAGTGGACATTTGAAAAGATGGAAATTCTGACTCCTCAAGACACCAAACCTCTCGACAACAACTCACGACAATGACCTATAACCGCCAAGACAATAAAAATATATATGGATGCAGTTTCGGACGGGCGGCCTTCTCACCCTTTAACCGCAGACGCACGACATGCCACGCTATGACACTCCGATACGATGGCACACGGCCCTTTATACAATCATTTGCGGTCATAATCAAAGCACGGTTTATTCTTTTATTGATGTTCCAGCGGAAAAATACTCAGTATGGTTCAGTTCAATAAACCTCTATATCGGTGCATTTGATGCACCTTCCAAGGGTCAACATAGATAATATCCAATGTCAACGTCAATTATATGGATATCGTTCGTATTAACTCCATGGAAGGTGTAGCAAAGTGCACTACACCAAAGACCTTCAGGTTAAAACCACACTGAGTATTTTTCGATAAAAACAAAAATAGCAATGTAACAGTGGTAAGGACATGACTCTCTAGACACGCGAAACCGCTCCGGTTCAACAGCGTCGCTTGTGTCGCAGTCGGCGGGAGATCGGGGGGGGGGGGGGGGCAGCACTGCCCGCCCCTCTCGGAAGTCCGCCTGACCGAGGTCGCTCACCCTTTCGATGGCCTCCTGGTCTTGCTGCGAGATGTGGATGGTGGTGGTTCCGCCGAGCAGACCCTCGCCAGTTCGGCCCTGGCCGCCGGCGGGCGGCACGCGGCCCTGGCCGCCCTGACCTCCCTGCCCGCCGCCACCGCCACCACCACCGCCGCCGCCGCCGCCGCCACCGGCCGCCGGCTCCGCCTCCGACGAGTCGTTCAGCATGCGCACGAACGCCTCTTGATTGTGAGAGATGAGCTGCAGCAGCTGGGGGTTGCTCTCGCCGATCTCGACGAGCACGGCGTGCAGCAGCGACGGGTTGGAGCGCACCATCTGGCGCATCTGCTGGAACTGCGGCAGCGCGCGCAGCGCCGCCAGCTGCTGGGCCGTGTCGGCTGGCGGCGGCGCCTCCTCCTCCTCTCCGGCCGGCGCCTCCTCGCCACCGCCGGCCGCCATGCTCTCCAGCACCGCCTCTGGGATGCCCGACAGCAAGTACTCCACGGCCCGGTCCGGGTTGTTGAAGCTGGCGCGCAGCGCGCGCAGGACCTGGCGGCGGGGCGGGGGCGGGTGAGGGGGAGAGAGGAAGGGGGGGGGGGGCGTCCGCGGACCCCGGCGCCGGCCATCACCGCCGCCCGCCCCCCGCGCCATCAGATGACCCGAAGGCGCAGAATAGTGCCCCTGGGAAGCTTGGTCACCGCTGTTACTACCAAGGGGTATTTAAGTACGCGCTGCCACCGATATAACCATGACAGTGATTCCCGTACAACGCGCCCCTTGCGTGGCGCCTGGCCAGCTGTTGGTGTTGCGGCCCGCGGCAAACGGACGCGATGCTAACATACATTGTGGCAATCCGGGATCAAATCAGGGCTATCGCAGCCTAGCGTCACAACTATACCACTAAGTGATCCACGTCAGGAATGTCAGGGGCACATATCACAGTTGAACGTCACAGCCACGGCAGCGTTGTTATAGCGCCAACGAATTTTTGTTGGTTAGATGGCGGCTCAATTGTCGGGTGCTGCGCACGACTGCAAGTCAGTTGTGATCGCGCGGTAGTAAAGCTTGCACAGGCGGAAAAACGCCGCTCCCCCATTTCAGTGTTGGACCGGGGTAGACAGCCGCTGAACTGCCTCCTGGGTCGCAGATGGGCATCAACGGCGGCGCAACCAGAAGGCGCGCCTGATGACATTTGGTTTATGACACACCAGGTGAAGATCCATTTCAATGGCGTTCAATGAGCTTCACGTGCTATCATTCACATTCACCTAGATTTACTTTCGAGCGTGTGCTCCCGAGCTTGCAGAGACAAAAGGCAAAGTTCCGTTCCATAGTCGATGCACGGCGGCTGCTAACTCTGACGCAAGAGGCTGCACGTAAATCTACCGCATGGCAACCCGCGGAGTCTTCATGTGCACACCTTGCTCCACCCACATCACAGACAAATTACCTCGTCCCGACTGTAGCCCATATCCATGATGTTCTTGACGACCGTCTCCAGCTGGTCTCCTGTGAGCAGCGTCGACTCCCCGGACGGGTCGACCTCAGGCACCGGCGCCGGAGTGGGAGCCGAAGCAGGAGCCGGAGCCGGAGCCGGAGTGGGAGCCGCGGTCGGCGCCGGCGCCGGGGCGGCGGGTTCGGGTGCAGATGGCGCGGCCGGCGTCGGCGCTGTCTGCGCCGGAGCTGTCGGGTCTGCGGGGCCGGTCGGCAGCGGGGCCGGCTTCGGCTTCATCACCATCACCACCACAAACTTCTTGTCGTCGATGCTGTACTCGGAGAGCGGTGTGTCGTCGGCCAAAATTTTGCCTGCGCAGATAGGGGTCGGTTAGCGTCCATATCAGCCAGCAAAGCACTGGCCACGCAGGCACTGAGACTTATCTGCTGATTAATAACGCATCCTTCAACAGCAAAGTACATAACTGGTAAGTGTTCAGTGTACGTATGGGACGCTTAACTGAGCACGGGAAATATGGGACACCCAAACAGTACACAACACAGCTTTGACCAGACAGCTACTGGTCCAAGGATTCATTCAGATTCTAATCACGCTATTCTGGATTCAGGCGCAGCTCTGCCTGATTCAAGGCCAAAGTGAGACCCAGTAGCATCACCTGCTTGCATCATGGTCGACCTGAATCAGAATCACGTCTCTCGCTACATTTGATTTAAAGAGAGTGGTCCACATTTGTATGGGGTTTTGCACTGAAATAGTCATCCTGTAGACCTTTCGGTGCTGTTCGCAATCCTGCCATTCCTACCACCTAAGCCCGTCTAATTTCTGAGCTACACGCCCGCGAAAATGATAAAGGTATATCAGAGAGTTTTTCAAAATGACCTTGGCATTCCTGATGTCATGATAACATCATTGAAATCCTGCCAATTCATCAGCTATTTGTGGGTGGGTGTCATCGAGGCTTTACGACGCCCTCAGCTGCTGAGACTATATGGCGTCACCTGCCTCTCACCCTGGCAGGAAGGACGGGCACCGCGGGGAATCGAACCCTGTACCTCTGGTTTCCCAGACGTGCGGTGGTTAACACAGATGTGTTAACCACTACACTACCAGCAGTCTACAGCAGTTTTTCTGATTCAACTTTCAGTTTGCCTCCCATGTATTGGTAACAGCATGCATTTGATTCATTCAGAAACAAATCAGACAAGATGGCACAAGCACATACAGCATTCTCGCCACCATAATAAAGAAATATATTTTTGCTGACGAACATGACAAAATAAAAAATATCCATGACATCTAATTGTTGGAATGAGCCTCTGCATTTTAATGAGAAGAATGTTGTATAAAATCCAGCAAAGATAAGACATGACTTCCCCAAGCCATGAAGAATAACATTTGTAAATTGTCACTGAGTATGTTACTTTTGAATGACACAAGCTACTGAGTATGCTAGTTTAGAATGGCACAAATGCCAAGGTGCATAAGAAGTCATGAACTTACTGAAGATTTGATAAAGGCATTTGTGATTAGATGGATTTCTGGGATCAGCACTGATGTCAAGCTATGCTTGCTGTGTGAGCCCCAACCCCACCACTCCCATAAAATTCTGAGTCAGAGGTAGCAGACTGTCATGCTTGGAATTGCCTGCCCTGTGCTCTAACATCATCTGACTTTTAGTGTGGCCATTGCCATAGGGTGTGGGTCATTCCAGTCAAGGGCGAACAGCAAACACCTAAATTAACTCAAACAAACCCTGCCATGCATGGGTAAATAGGAGACCAGGTGTTTGGACCATTTGAGCTATTGAAAAAACAATAATGGTAATGTGAGTGTTCTGAGAAATGCTACATTTGGGTACTGCAGGCCCATATCACAAGACAAATTATATGAAACATACAGCTTTCTACAGGCACATGTTTGGCCTTAAACAAATGCTGTAATGCAAACACTGATGCAGAGTACGGGCCTCATTCAGGCTATTCTCAGCTTGTCAGAATCATTCATACACAGACCTAGATAGATAGCCTGATACCTAGACTTGATCTGCATTAGGTCTGCCTAAGCCAGGCACCATACACTTTGTGGCTAATGTGGCCTCGGATCTGCCAAACCAAGACTCACCTCTGTCCTTGGCACACTTATGCATAACTACCACATCCAATGCAGAATTTCTGCAGCAAAGCAAATATTGTACAACCTAATATGTTCCAGTATTTCAAGGAAACTTTGTGATGATCAATTTGTTAACCAATATCCTAACAACAATTAAGCCCATGTGCCTGGGTTGTTTTTATAACCAAATATAATTTGCAACTTCATTTAATATGCTTACCTGCATAAATAAGTTTTTGACCAGAAGCAATGTAGTCAGACCCCTTCTCTTTTTCAATCTTTTCCTTGAGTTCTCTGACCTGAAATTAGCACAAAAGGTTAATGGGTCACAGAACTTGAAGCATCAAGCAGAATACACTGAAAAGTACCTGCCAGACAGAAAAGAAAGGCACAAATAAGTACCAAAATGACATGGAAGACCACTAGATGTATAGGAATCTTGCGACATGATCCTACAGAACACCATTTACATGGAACAATAAACCATTCAGAACAGGGCCACATGCATGAAGTCACAGTACACATTTTTACCATAAGTATTTTAGTGTACCACTGGCATGCAATATTTTTTCATGGCTTCAGATACTGTACATATGATATATGCAGATATATATTCAGATGTGTTTCCTTTCATACAATATCTATAATGTTTAATATAAGCTGCATGCATATCACAATGCATGCAAACTTGAATACAGGGGCACACATCCCAAGGACCACCATGTGTATATATCACTGATCCAAGCATGTGTGGGTTAGTCAGCAGCTGATTCCTAAGTCCATCCCAGAGTCAGGTCTTTCAAAAGTTTACAAGATCATTTGCACTAAGATAAGTGCAAACTAGCCTGAAAAACCTATCCTTTATGCCAGACAACTACTGAACATGTGCCTCTTAAACTTGTACTTGTGAGTGCCACCCCTAAGACCTGGGCAAATGCTGATTTGATATATTTTTTAGTTAATTTTTTTCTGAGTATTTTGTGCAATGGTCCATTAAAGCATCACATTGCCTTAAAACAAAAGCTTGTGAAAAAACTGTCCGAGTATTTTGGGCAATGTCATACTGAAACATCACATTTCCTTAAAACAAAAGATATGTAATGAAATTGGTGCTGACCATGCACCAAGCCCTGAGTACTGAGGCTTTCCATGTACAAGCACTGTAATGGTGGCCAAAATTGTGCTGCTATGCCAGACATGTTCACAATAACATGCAGTTTTAGCAGATCCAGATTGCATATCATAAATGCAAAAAATATCTGTTTAGCTTTGAAAATGCCAAATAAAGTAACTAAAAGCAATCTCATATGGTTTGTCAAACCAAGTTGCTTGAGTTTTCTGGCAAGGCCATGTCTGTAATCAATGCAAGATGTCCATGTTGCCTTCTGAAGGATTAACAGCATGATTACTATCACACAGAGCTCCAGTGTTTGGCACACAATAATGCCATCCTGAATCACAAACCAGATGGAAAAACAAGCAACAGCTTTTGGTTTACAGGTTCAGAACATGTGAAGAAGGGACTGCTATGCATGTCACATAAGAATACTTTACAGAAAGGGACACCATAACATGGCAAAAAGCACCCTTTATGGTGCACCAGTGTCTTCATTCAGTTAACCTGAATAATGCATTCAATAAGTGCAAGTGATAACAGAGAACATCATGCAAAACACACAACTGATGCAGTGCAAGTTCTCTGCATTAATAGTTCATGGAAACAACCACCATGGTGGACAATATAACAATATAGTCAACTTACAGACTGGGATGCATCGATATCTATCTGGAAGGTCTGCTGCTGCAAATTCTTCATTGTGATGAGCATTTTGAAGCAGTTATGAGCTGGCAAGGCCAGCAGCTAAGTGATCCAGATGTCGAGAGGTTGATTTCCGTGAGCACTGTTGTCAAAACACCGGAGTATTCTCCAGTAGTTCGGCGACGGTTGGACGCGGCACTGCCGAAGTCTTCTAAAGCATCTGGCGAATACAAATATCCAGGATCCTCATCGGATTTAGGCCACTCTTGCTGCCTCAATCCCACCGCCCAACCCAGTTCAGAGATTCCAATCGCTGAGCATTGGATGACGTAAACGCACTCGCAAACGTGAGGGACCGCTTCTCTGGGACGACGCTCCCTGAGCACCTAACCGTCCAGAACCTGCTTCTGCGCCACTGTCGCAGGAAACGACTTGTCATTTTGGCGCACAAGCGCAGTAGTTGTAGACCCCTCTTCGTGACGTAACGGCTTGCTTCCGGCGGTACTATTTTGCAACCGTTTAAGGCACCATGACAATCCTCGAAAATTACTGGTATTATTCACCTCAAACGCCCACTTTCAGACTTCCGGCATAAATTTTGTCAGTCGTTGTGAGTCTGGCTATATGCTTTTGACACTGTGATCATGCCAGTGGGAAGTTTTTATATATCCCCCGTAACCATCTGTTTTAAGCCGGCTCACAGCTGGACATGACCATGCACTTATAGACCAGAGGTTTATTCCTGCACCCATTGAGCTTCTGCTTAACTAATCTGATGCCTGTCGATACGCTGTAAAGAATCAGACCGCATGACGTGCATGCAGCGTCATACATGCGTGAAGTACCACGGGGGAATCCCGGCGTAATGTCTGAAAGGCAGAATCCCTCCCTTTTCTTCCTTTCACCTATTGTTACACCACACGCGTACAATTTGATTCCGAATCATATGTTTCTCTAAGTCCTAAAAAGCTTAAAATTTCTATTTGAACTAGCCAAACCTGCGGGAGAAATTGTATTTTACTCCCTGCTCATCATTATGAAAGAAATGCATTTCATTCACTTTGCTTTTGTTCTTTAATGTTTAAAACGCACTGACGTGTTAAACTGTTTGTGTTATAAATGCTACGTAAGCTGGAAACACTGTTGAAACAAAATATATGACAAGATGAAGCTATTTTCCCGCGTTTTCAACCGAACGTTGCACTATGGCTTTTGATTTCTCCCAAAGTTTACCACAGCGGCTCTTTTCGAAGGTCACTTTGGCTTTGGGAATGGGGGAATAACAATATCCATGTGACAGGTACGTACGGCGGTTGCCGCGACGACAGTGGTCACTCCTACAAGGAAGAAGCGCATTGCTGTCGCGAAACGCTAACAGCGTAATTTTGAGTCGAGAATGATTGAAGTTCAGATATCCTCATTATGCTTTGGCGGTGCTGCAGTCGCGCTGCCCAGTGTAATTTTTAGATGCAACGAGTCATGAGGTTTCACTTAAGTATGTTTTTGAAACATGCGGTAACGCAGGCGGAGGGACGGTACAGGGAGCATGTGCAAAGCCGAGATTTACGATTTCCCTCTCTTACCCTTCCCCCTTGAGGTTCCGGGGGCCCAAAGATCCCTCGTAGCCTACGAATAATGGCCCGAGTTGAGGGGGAACAAGGACCCAAAAGGCCGGCCAGAGGTCGTATTCAGGGGCCTCGGCCCGCAGGGTCGCGTACCACCATTGGCAGGCCAGAGGGCCCTGCGCACTGATCAGGGGTACCCTGAGTTGGTAGAGTCTATATGTTTGTCAGATACGACCAGTAACGCACAGGTGGCTCCATGGTCGCCAGTGATTTGCAAAGCTGGGCCCAGTGACTTGCACTGGTCGGGACCCCCGTATCGGTCAGGAAACGCAGCGCTGAACAGAGGATTATGTGCTCGCAAGGGGCCGAGCCGACCATGGTCAGTGTTCGATGAGGCACGAAGAGGGGACGCTGCGGCCCGCTGGAACCGACTATTAAGCGCCCGGCTGGAGGGCATAAGAGCCGAAGGACTGACTGTAGGTCGCATTAACAATCACGAACCGCACGGTCGTGGCCTGAAATATCAGTTTAATGTCCTCCTGCACCGTTGAGGACCCACTGAGGCAATGCGTTTACCTACGTTGACCAGGGGCCCCATGCCAGCACAGAGCTGCAAAAACCTGACAATCAACACCAGCCCGCTAAACCGGTAGCAGAAATCGTCCAACCACAACCATCAACACAAGCCGTGTCAAACATGCCTAATGGAAGTGATGCACCTGCATCCCGTTTTGCGGCAATCAGCCGGGATTTCCATGGGAGACATTATTGGTCGCACAAATCAATTTACGGGATCTCTTCGCCTCCCGAAGACGTACACGTTCAACATCCGAAGTCACATAATACCGACTCTGTGTCGATTACCAAAGCCTGGCTTCGGCGATTGACGCCAGACGAAATTATCATGATGTGGAACGAGAAGATCTTTCACCGAAACAGATCAGGCAAACGTATTGACGAGGTCTGTATTTGGCAGTCTGTGTTGGGGGTACTCCAACCCCACAACGTCACTCAGAGGAAATTGGGCCTAATCAGGGAAGTATCCTGCTTTCTAATGTATCTGACGCTAGTTTTTCCCACTTGGCCTCACCAATCCTATTTTGCGAAACACACAACAATGATAGACTTAACGACCGTAACACGCGAAATATTCGTCACAAGATTATACTCCACAGTCACGTCTGGGACTTAGGGCCCATTTCTCAAGCAAAGGCAGAGCCGAGATGCACGATTTTCATTGGTAGGGACCCTTCAGTCAATGAGTGGTTCCCGTATCAGTCAGCGAACCACAGAGCCTAGTAAGGGTCCGGTATTTACAAGGGGCTTAGCGTCAGCCTGGGACAGTGTTCGGGGTCCCGCAGAGGAGCCGGAAGGTCCCTCGAAATCGATGATCATATGCCCGCTTGGAGGGCAAGAGGGCAGGGCCGGGCCATCAGATGTTAGTTAGAGGGCCTCTTACACCGACTGGAGACACCCTGGGGCAATTCGGGTCTCTATTTCGGTCACAGACCACCAAAACCGAGCAGTTGGCTCCGTGTCGGTCTGGGAGCTGGGGGTACATTTCCCAAGCAGGGAAAAGGTCAAAACCCGCGATTCGTGGGTTGGTGCCGGGTCGGGTGTCGGGTCCCTTGCAACAGTGAGGGTTTCTTTACTGGTCAGGGACCCACAATGCCTGATAGAGGGCCCAATGTTCGCAATGGGCCTCGAGTCGACCAGGGCAACATCTGTTGGACAGGGACCGGGACGGGACCCCAAAAGCCAGGGGTCCTTTGCGTTGGTCGAGGCCTTCTGGCAATGCAAGTGGAGATGAAAGTTAACGATGTGAGTCCACAACGCGATAATGGAAGGTAGTTTGTCAGGAAGGGCCCCGGTACCGAACGGAGGGCTCTATATCCCATTTCAGCCAGGGGTCCGTTATGCCGAACTGTGGTAGTCTCTTTGCCAATTATGGGACACCTGCAATTATAGTGATCTTTTGTATAAATGAGAACCCTGCGTCTATTTGGGAACAAATGATCGGGTCAGGGGCCCTCTGCCGTCAGGCAGGCCAACAATGTATGACGTGTCCCTTTCAGGGTTTCTGTATCGGCCAGAGCATCCCGCCCCTGTGTCACCGGCATGACAGCCAGCGAGCACTCCACGCTGTAACCGAATGGTCCTGAAGCCCCTGACCGGGAAATATAATTTGTTCCCTATTGGTCTATACACTGGATCCTTTGCCCGGAAAAAAGGATTTCCGTAATGACCAACAGGCGGATCACAATAAGTTCAGAATGAAAAAGGTCAGTAAAATATATCGATCGATCCTTGTTCAGGATTATCATGTGAAGCAAATTGCATAAAGCAGCTTTGGGCCTACGTGCTCACAATCTTAGTAGCAAGAATATCAGAGGCTAGGGTTGTAGTTTTCATGAGACCGAGCGGCGTACTGCGGCTGACACCGAGTGGTGGGCGCCTGGCGCCCGAGAACATCCATCGTAAAATAATGCAACCAAAAGTTTTAACAAATGAATTCATACTGTTCAGAAATTGGACTGCAGCGCATATTCCACTTGAATAGTTTTGAGCCTATCCTCTGATGAAAATATGCAGCGACAGCAGCACGAACGTAGATTCCACTTTTAGCTGTCCTTGTTCCACCATTAAATTCTTGCAAAGGTTCACAGTGTTATAAATGGTAATCCGCTTATATCATAAGTCTGAAAATTTCACTGGTAAAATATCACTCCCAGAGCACATTGCAGGCGTTCAAATTGACATTTTAAAGAGTTCAAAGGTGTTTCCTCCAGAAACATTGCCGTTTTTCCCCCATCCGTTCGCCACCGCCTGGTGTAAGACGCAGGACCGACGCCGCCCTGCCTCTGCAAACTGCAATGCCGGGTGTGGGGGTTTTGCTGTTAGACTTGCGAGCGCGCATGACCAAACCTGGGTTATGTAACTCTTCCCCTTCTCGATTCTGAACAAAGTTGAGTATTCTGATGCTTGATTCCATGCATAATTGCTGTGGCCACGCACGTAAGATTTGAAAAGACACGTAAGCAAAGCATATATATATAATGTGAGTAATAATAAGAAAATCAGGCACAAACCCAAGAAGTTTTGGCCATGCCCCCTAATGATAACTTCCTTGAATCTGCTCCCCAATCATTTTCAGAAATCGACACCCATGTTCGGAGCCGCATGAATACTGCCGCCCACTTGATTTGAAGCGTCACGTTTCTTCAATTAGTAGTCCAGCTTCTTCATTTAGTGATGACAACTTCGGCGCAGGGTAGTTCGTTTATCAAAATGATTACGTGTATTTACGTATGTAGCAGACTTGTGTACTAAAATCGAAGTGTGAGGCGAAGCACCATACGCGACCTTTTCTCCATGCGTCCACACACCAAATCCTCATATAAAGGGCATTGTGTGTCCAGAATACGCTGAATCACTTTAACAGTTCTGTTCTCACAGGGAAAAATTTGGTTGCTATTTGTGTATATAGCTTCATAGCTGGGTCAAGTATCAACGACCATTGTCCCTTTTGCGAATCAGCACGAGTGGTTACTTTTGAGAAGTGATTTTGTGAAGTCATGAAAACCTAGTGACACATAAATTGATTGATGAGGACCTGCAGGAGCATGGTGTGAGCATGTCCAAGCTTACATCAATAGTAGTGTTTTTGGTAGGTGTCTCTTGCACACTGCTGAGCTCACTCATTTTGGAACACTTTTCTGGTGGACTGATCGTTGGAACAAAGCCAGGCTCTTTTCTTCCTCTTGAAGATGAACTTTATCTGCATACTGACGATCTTAGTCCCAATTTCCTTAATCCTGGAACTGAGTTAGCCCCCAAAGACCCTAACCATGATCAAAAGAGTAAGTACATAATACTGCCTGCCACAGGGGGGCATTTTTTCAGTTTCCTTCTGTCATCATGTCATGAGTACAATGCTTTTATGATTGATCAGTATGAAGGACAAGGCAATTGAAGTGATAAAATGTAGTCACAAATACCACAAAATTTGAATGTGTGCTTATCACTACACATGTTTCAGTAGGCATATGTTAGTGATAGTTTAAATCTGATTCACTCATTCATGAATAATGAGCATCTGCCACAGCTCCATGTGAAATGCTTTATATTAAGTAATTGTTTTCCTTTTGATGTGCTTGGAATAGCTGCTTCTGCTGGTCTTTCTGTAGAAAACTTCTGCTGTCAAGGCTTATGGTTGACACTGGTCATGATCCCCTGCTACTGCATGCATTGATTGCATTGGAGCATATGCATAGTTTCTGAGGTAGTTGGCTAGGAATCCCCAGCTTTTAATTAGTCTCCCCCCAAAATAAGTAGCCACTTCAAAAAGGAAATTGGTCAGTTAAACTCAATTTCTAGTTTAAGTCTGGTTTTGGCCACATTGGGGCATTAGCACCCTCACCTCCACATTTTTGATGATTTGCTGAAACTTTTTAGTGCAGGTTATTTGGTGGTGATGCATGCAAAATTTGAGCCAACTGTCACTTGAAATTAGCAGGAGCTCTGTCTCAGTGCAGATGCAATCACTGCAAGCCAAAGCAACTTTTGCCTTTCCCCTCGCAGCTAAGAATGCGGAGTATGAGGGCCCGCAACACTCTACAGGCTGCAGCCCAGATGTGCCAACTCGGCAAGCTGGAGAAGGCTGGAAAGCTGTTCGAGCACGCACTGGCACTCAGCCCTCGCCATCCAGATGTGCTGACTGAGTATGGTGAGTTCCTGGAGCTCTCAGACGTGACGCGCGCCAACCATCTGTACACGCGTGCCCTCATCTTCGCGCCGGGCCACCGGCGGGCGCTGCAGAACCGACAGCGGACGCAGCCGCTGGTGGAGCAAAGCGACCTGGAGCTGCTGCGGCGCATCGATCGCAAGCTGCTGGAGGCTGGCGAAGGTGCCAGACAGCAGCTCGGCACTGCGCCGCGTCAAAAAGGAAGCCTACTTTCAGCAAATCCACCACACGGTGGGAATCGAGGGCAATACGATGACGCTGGCCGAGACGCGCATGGTCGTTGAGACGCGCATGGCTGTGGGCGGCCGCAGCGTCATGGAGCACAACGAAATCTTGGGACTGGACGCTGCCATCAAGTACATCAACACGACTCTGGGTGCACCGGATCGGCGACATCACGCTGGATGACCTGCTGCAGATCCACCGGCGCGTGATGGGTCACGCCGACCCGTTGGCGGCCGGACAGGTTGCGCACGACGCAGGTGTACGTCAGCGAACACGTGCCGCCGCCACCCACACGCATCACGCCCCTGCTGGAGGGCTTCATCCAGTGGCTGAACGCGCCGGAGACGGTGGCGCTGCACCCGGTTAAGTACGCGGCGCTGGCGCACTACAAGCTCGTCTTCATTCACCCGTTCTCGGACGGCAACGGACGCACGTCGCGGCTGCTGATGAACCTGATCCTGATGCAGGCCGGCTTCCCGCCGGTCATCATCCGCAAGCAAGACCGTCACATCTACTACCGCTGCTTGCAGCTGGCCAACGAGGGCGACGTGCGGCCGTTTGTGCGCTTCATCGCCGAGTGCGCCGAGAAGACGCTCGACGTCTACGTTGGGCGACCAGCGAGTACGTGCACAAGATCGCGGCGTCGGAGGCCGAACGCCAGGCGGCCGCACGCCGCGCCGACGCCGAAGACGCGTTCGTGCGCAACTTCAGCGGCGACGACCTGGTGGGGTTCGGCGCGCCGGTCGCCCACCGCGAGCCGGGCGACACGACGGGGTACTTCAGCGAAGAGGAGGCGGACAGGACTATACATACACCGGAAGATGGGAGCGAGCATGTCATCAGTGTAGAGGAGGTGGACAGGTTGGTTCCGGTGCCGGGTGAGCGCAGTGCTAAGGACGTGGCAGAGGCGGGCAACCGGACGTCTCAGGCGCGACTCGGCCGGACTGCTGGCGTTAGCGTGGAAGGAGTGGAGCAAGCCAGACATTATCTGGAAGGCCAGGGTGATGATGCGGTTGGTGCAGATGGCGAGCGTAGGCCAAAGCACGTATTGGACGGGGAGTGCAATCGGTTTATTGGCGTAGAAGAGGTAGAGAGATCGAACCAGGTGCGGAAAAACGAAATCGATCGTGACATAGATGTAGAAGACGTGGACAGATGACGGTAGCCTTGGGGGGCAAGCCCACCTGAACCTTAGGAATGCATTGGGTGTTGCTGTTTTAGTGGCTGTGAGGATATATAAGTGCACACTATTTTGCAAGCTGTATGTGCTCACTTTGCAGTATTATTTGATATTGATGTTACGTTTTCTGCGGTGCCGTGATTGTACCTGCTCCGCACGCTGAGAGACGTTCGGCTCACTTCCTGAGCATTGGGTATTGGCATGCTGAGCTCTCTGAGAAAATCTGCCGTATTTCGGAGGTTGGTTCCTGAGATAGACGCGACGACCGTCTTGATCGTGGAGGACGTCGTTGGCGCTCTGACGGAATAATCTTTATCTTGCGACAACTGTACAACTACCAAATATGGACTGTGGGGTGTTCTTT